GATACCGGATAGCAAACAGTATAAAGTAATATAGTACAAAACGGGGAAAACAGGTGGAGCAATGGTTAATTAGTTTTAGATTATGCAGCAGCAGCATGTTTTTGTTTGTTATAAGAAAACCACATTTAGGAATGTAATTGTATTTACTACAACCTCATTTCCAAAAATGTTGGGACACTGCAAAATGTAAATAAAAACAGAATACAGTGATATGCAAATCATTTAAACTCAATAATTAATTGAAAATAGTACAAAGGCAACATATGAGATGTTAAAACCGAGAAATTCTATTGTTTTTTTGAAAAACATTTGTCATGTTTTGAATTTGATTCCAGCAGCACATTTCATCAGCATTCCCTGTTAGGACAGGGGCATGTTTACCACTGTGTTGCATCACCTCTTCTTTTAGACAGCGCACTGAAAGTGTTTGGGAACTGAGGAGACCAATTGCTGTAGTTTTGAAACTAAAATGTTTCCCCATTCTTGCTTGATATAGGATTTCAGCTGCTCAACAATTCGGGGTCTCCGTTGTCGTATTTTTCATTTCATAATGTGGCAAATGTTTTCAGTGTGTGGCAGGTCTGGACTGCAGGCAGGCCAGTTCAGCACCCAGCCCTCACTATGGAGCCATGCTGTTGTAATAGGTGCAGAATGTGGTTTGGCTCACCCCAGTGTATGTGTATGTATGTATGATGTAGGAACTCTTGTTTCATAGTTTAACCTTGTGATAGTTCATGGTCCTTTGCTGTTTTAAAATTCAGTTTAAGTTTATTTCTGACTGAGTTGGTTTACATTCATATGAAGACATTGATTTTCTGCTGTTTAAGAAATTTGACAGTTGAGAAGAGTGTTAAGAATTGGCAGTTATATTTGACAACTGACAATCATATCAATCAGCAAAACACTGTTTTACAAAAGCTATTAGTCTGTTTAATTTCTTTTCACCATATAAAATATTGTCTGATATTGTCTGCTATTTGAATTTTTAACTATTTTATATCTGTATTGATGACAGTTTTCATATCAGTCAGGCCAGTGATTATTGTCTTTATGTAAAAACGCTCTTTCTGGGTCAGTTTGAATGTGTTGTCTCTTTGGTTGAACCTGAGGAATCTGAATCTGAAGAGGGGAATCTGATTCTCAATTAGGCATCTGAAGAGTCAAAAGAAACACTGATTTGATCTGGAATCTATACCCCTTTTATATAGTATTAGAGGTTTTTTCTGTATTTTTACTGTTTTCCCCATTTTAGTATAATAGGAAAGGTATGACTGGTTAAAATGATTAAATAACAAGTATGAAAAGAAAAAGAGAAGAGCTAAACAAAAAAACTATTTTCTATTTTAGATTCTTTAAAGTAGCCCCCTCAGGTGCCATGTCAAAGTAGCTAGGTTACATATTTTGGCATATCAAAAAAAAAAAAAAGGTGAAAACAGCATGTATTGAATAAAATAACTTTGAGTTAATGTATGCACACCTGAGGGAGATACATTTTTTTTTTTTGTCAGTAAAAATTCAATTTGATAAATTACAATTGAAATGCATTTGCCGAAAAAAATAATGAATATGTTTCAAGAATTAAGTCATATGACTGCTTCTCTGGCTGTACCTACAGAACATAACGAAAAGCTCCTGAGCTGTTGCCACTTCATTCTGTCTTTGTGCTCTTATGCTGCAAAATACAACTATAAAATTGAACAGTGCTGCTCAACGTTAAAGATTTAACTGTGAACTATTTCCATTTTTCGCAGTGTGTTTTATGAATGACACAGAGCTCTTGTACAGAGCTGATAGAAACTCATATTTCTTTCGCGATATTTCTTATTTGCTTGAATTTAATCCAGCAGCTGGGTGGCAACATGACTGTTCTCTTAAGTAGCTCACTAACATGCTTGAAGAAGATGCCCATAAGCTGAGTGCTAGACTGCTCAAACTACCAATTTCAAGCATTTAAGCATAAACTGGGGTCACAGTGTCTAAAACTAAGAAATACATCCAGTCATGTGTTTCAAGCTTTTTAATTGAATTTTCAAACAGCACTTGAGTCAGTCTTACACATTGACCAGATGTGGTTGGAATTTTACATGAAGGTTCAACAGGACAATTTTTAGCCCCTCAAAACTCCCATGAGTAAGAAATCCTCTTTGAGAACAGGAGCTTTCTTCTTCCTCATCTGTGTCTTTCTGCTTGAGTAAACCCACCTTCTCCCAGCACCCTCTGCTCCAGTGCTGTAATCTGCTTTCCCAGCCCCAACAGGATCACGCGTGATTATAAGTCAACAGCACCTGACCTGATGTCACTGAGCTGGGTTGGGTACACAAGCAAAGAACAGTTTCAGAGTTAGAGTACTGATTACGCTGGTGCTTAAAGGACTACTTTGGCAAAAAACATTTACACAATTTCAACCTTACCTCAAATACAGCTTTAGAGCTACAAGGCTAATATAGCTAACAAGAAATAGAATTTTATATCCCACCAATAAGCATTAGACAAACTTAATGCCTAAATCATCACACAGTTACTTCAAACCATGTTGAGTCGTTAAGTAAGATCAATTTTTCTATAAATTTGTCTGTGAATGTGGTTTAAAATACGAAATCCACGCTGCAAAGTGATCGGTACTGTTTCTAGCCTTGTAACTTCTTTCCATTTTTATAGATGTTTAGCATGTTAAGCATGCAGTGCATGCTAATGTGGTGTGGGCAGTTTTTGGGGGGAGCTTGAGCAACCCTTAGCGCCCCCTGTAAACCGCCCCCCCCCGTGCTGTGCCTCCATTAAGGAGCAAATACCTTGTGTAGCGTACACGTCCACATTTAACTGGTGCGGACTTAGCTCTGCATTGTTAGCTGTGTTAGCTCATTAGCACATCTGAAGAGGCAGCCTCTATTACTGATTCAACACAAAAGCCTACTGATTTCCCTTGATTGTTTTTGAATAATCAGAATTGTTTCTCTGCGTGTTGCTATTTTTTGTGCAACACCTGTACTGTAACCTAAAAGGTCATCCTGCACTGCTACATTATTTTCATCCAAAGCACTGCTGTTTCTTTCCTGTGGTTAACCGGGTATCCGTTCATGAGCTTTTACGGAAACTTGAAATATCAAAATTAGACTGAATGCATATACCTAGCTGATACACTGATTAAAGTGGAGGTGTATCTGTTCTGTCAGAAGGATGACTTTAAAAAAGCACTTCAAATGCAGTTGGTTTTAAGGGTGATTTAGAGAGTAAGTAATTGAGTACCTTGTCTGGAAATATTAAGTATTCGAAGCCTGTAAAATGATAGTGTCATACGGTGCCAAGCAAGTCTCTTGATGACCAATTGGAGGGCTATAAGCTTCCATTACTTGTAGGCTACATTATTGTTGCACTGGAGCTGCAGTGCTAAAGAAGCAAACTTCAGACACCATGGGGGAAATTGTGTAGATTTTATTCATTTAGTTCCAGTTCTTTATTGAAAGAGTTTTGTGGGTAAGATTAATGTCATTCACTTGGCTTATCGTGTGTTCAAAAATGTAATTGGGTTTGGTAGAAGATCTTTTATTAAACTTGATTTACTGGGCTAATACAGGCAACCTGCCCTTCTCAGAGATCGTTATCTGGTCTGTTATGCTCCTCTGGCGAGCTGTTTCCGCAGGCCTATGTGAAAAGTCTTTTTCAGTTTTGTTTTCTTTAGAGATGCATTGATAGGAAAAATCTGTACTGGTGCCAGCATTTGACATTTTCGAATTGATGAACTGCTTCGAAGTATAAATATTCATTTAACAGATTTAATATGCAAATGAACTTTTGGTTTTCTCTGCAGAACATCTGTCTGAAGGGTAAAGACTGTTTATGAAATGTCTGGGCACCACTTTAGTCTTTTCTATTGTTATTGAAACTCCAAAAACACTCCATAATGCTCTTTAATCTTTTAGATTAAACTTCTCTGTTTGCCCTAGATGTAGCCGATCAGCCAAGAAATGTTCAGTGTCCAAATGTTCTTGTTTAGTTTAGAGCTGGAGCTACAAGGCTAATGTAGCTCACAAACACTAGAAGTCCAAGAGAAGATGTGATTTAGGACACAGTATGACTTACTGTGAACTATAAAAACAAACAAAACTTAAACTTCAAAACTGTGTAGCCAGCTGCTGTCAGACACTTTAGGCAATGTGTTTGGCTGACTTCTGTTTACAAGCTGAATTTTTTCACAATCTTGAATTTTCTAGCTTCAGGTATGTTTCTACAAAGAAACAGCAGAAATCAAATGTGGTGTTCATATGCCTCCCTGGCATGCGTGTATACAAAGAGGAGTTGGATTCTGCAGGGGAGGTAGAATTTACCACAGCACTATTATATAAAGTGGCTGGCTTCAGTGTTCAGCTATACAGTGAAGGTTACTTTGTTCTAGTGTTTGTTAGCAACATAGCTCTAGTGCTAAATTAAGAAGCACAGTTCTGACACCTGACCTGCCTTGGCTGATGGACTGCACCAGGGATAAGTGGCAAATTGTGTAAAGTAGATTTTTTGCTGAACCACCTATGTGCACAAATGTGAAATTTCTGAACTAATTAAAAGTGTGCAAGAACTTGTTAACATCTGCTGTGAATCGGTATTTAAAAACATATGCATTTAGTGTGGTTTTTTGCACTGCACTTTTGCATGTTTTTTAAATGGTACTTGGACCATGTTTTTTAAATGGACGCTGACCTGAAAGCACATGAATGTGCATACACTTGTATGCAAATGTTTTAATAGCCCTGGCCAAAGTATACTGTTGTTACAGTGCTTGTAACAACAGAGGAACTCTTTTTGGTGCTACATAGAACCATTTTTAAAAAGGTTCTATAAAGAACTACTTAAGTAAGCATGAAATTGTTCTATATAGAACTTCCGGTTCTAAATAGAACATTCCCTTTACTAAAGAACCCTTGACAACCCATCTTTTTTTTAAGAGTGTAACGCTACTTTTAAAGGCATGTTTTAACATTTCCTTCATCTACCCCTTTTCTGTCCTTTAGACTCGGACTGTCACCTCAAAGGCGACGAGAAGAAATCTTCAAGTCGGCCGGACTCGTCCACCTCCGGGCACAACACCTACACCATCCCCAGTCCAACAGATGTACAGAATACAACCGGGAGACCAGGTGAATCACGTGTGCCCAACATGAGCACATTTTAACAGGGATTAGCTGTTACTTTCCATGTTGTGTTTAGTTACTTTCACCCTGATTTTTCAAAATTTCAAACACTTCATTGAGAAGTCATTCAGAGTGGTTTGATTTGAAATGATTTATTGTAGAGAAACTTACCAACTCTGACTTCTTTACAGTGGTGGTGATAAGAACCAGGAGTCATGATGTCTACAGTGCAAATACAGCCATTTTATTTACCATCCACAGCCACGAGTGAACCTACAATTTCCAATATTTACATTTTAGGCCAAAAGATTATTCCAAGACTGTTGTAAAACATTTGTCTCAGAAATCAGGCAACTTATTTATAAGCATTTTTATAATAGCTTTCTGTGAATGAGCATTTAGAGGGAATACACTCTTCAGATGTCTGGTTCCTATCACCACCACTGTAAAAAGAATCTGAATTGATAAGTTTCACATTAAACTACTCTCAATGACTTTATTTACATCTTAACCATTTCATTATGTGTGGAATGGAATGGGTGCATGGATGGAATTCCCCTTTTAATCCTTGTTTGTCTGAATGTGAATGTTGAACTCGTGTCATCTTCTTTTTTTATTCATTTTCTTAATCAAACAATGACAATGTACATAATGAGTGTTGTTTTTTTTTTTGCATGATGCAAAAATTTAAATATTGTTAATAACAAAAAAGGTATTGGAGTGTCAGACAGCAGACACCAAAGCAACATGCATTAAAATGGTTCATGAGCTGTTTTGTGTTCTGTCAGTGTGTGTTTATATACTAAACATGTATGTGTCTGTGTGTCTCCACAGAGCCACTGGTGCTCAAACTCGATGAGAGGCAGAGACTGGCTCGAGAGAGGAGGGAGGAGAGGGAGAAACAGATTGGTATGATGCACACACTCTTACACTCACTCCCAAGCATCTCCTGCTGTTTCTGAATTGATCTGAACCCATAATTACTATAATAGAAACTTCATAACCTGCATAGGCAGAAATCTGGTGTCTTTGATGGCTGTGCAGCTTTACATTGCAAACTATTTACTAAGGAGAGAAGAGTATGTTGTGCATGGTGACTCAGGACCGACTAATATTGAGTAGAAATTGACCATATTTAAAACATAAGCCTCATCAGATCAATGGGGATGTCCAGGAAAAAGGGCAACTGGATATCAGGATATATTCTAGATATTGCTGTTACAGTTTACATATATTTTGCACATTTTACTGTCTACCTCATACTGCCTTATCCTTATCTTATATTAAACCTTATAGGATAGTGACGGCTATTGTGTAGTAAATATAATAGCAGTCATTAGATCATGAATAAATTAAATAAAGGATAAAGGCTGAAATAATGATAAAAAAATAATCAGCTGTCCAGAATTAAGTTTAAATTCCACTCAGGGTTATTATAGTTTTGAAATTTTCATTATTTTTTTATTTAGTTTTTATTTTGGTTTTTGTTACTTAGTCTTAAGGGTCCATGAATAGTTTTATTTTTGTTTTTATTTTCTGGAAAGTGATGGTGTAGTTTTTATTTAGTTTTCATTTTAGTTATCAGTATTATGATAAATGCTGTGGTGGTAGGTGTTTGATAAGAGTAGAATAAAATTGACTGAGTTCAGCTCCAATCCAGCTTTCTTAAAGAGAGCCAAACACGCAAAGGATCCACTTCTACTCTTTCACCCACTGAAAAAAAAACAAAAAAACTATAGGTTCTTCTCAGTAATTTCAATTAGTTTTATTTAATTTTGCTGTGGACATTATAGTTTTGATTGTTTGCATGTTTTTGAAAGCTGTACAGTTAATGAGCACATTTTTTCCCTGCTAGTTTTTGTTTTCGTAATAGCTTTAGTTAACTATAATAACCCTTAATCTGCTTCAGTGCATGTATTTACCAGGCAGTGCTTTCAAACGTTATCTCAACATTTTTTTAGTCTGGATACACTTTCCATAACCTGCTGTTCTCAAATAAAGCACAGTGGGTAACACTTGATTCAATTTATATATCAGTTCTACATGAATAAAATTTGTTGCACCAACACATTATTTTCTCTCAGTTTACTCATTTTTGGCAGGCATTGAGTTGATGTAATATATTTGATTCATGTGGAAAACCTCTGCTGTACTAATGAGGGTCTATGGGCAAAACACCTAATACTACATTCATCTACTATTGTAAACTGTAGGTAAATTGTTTACCATTGTAAAATATTTTAAAGCTGTGATTGCTATAATTGTCTAATTACGCTATGTTATGTTAATCAGTGATCCATTTTTCCATTTCTTACATGATATATGTTTTATAGTGTTTGTGTAACTTACATCAGCAAAAATAGCAACTTACAGCTTCAATAAATTTATCAGTTATTGGTATCAGGCAAAACGAGGTATTAATTATCAGATATCGTGTGTATTTTACTCCATATCGGAATATAAGTATATGGTTAACAAAGTGATAAAGTTTTTAATCTTTGAGTTGTTCTATAACAGAAGTAGTTTGTGTGGGAATAACAGTGTGGTTCTGACCTTTGTAACCTTTCAGGAGGAGATTTAAGGCCAGTTTAAATCACTAATTAAACTGCAAACACATGCTATGTGTGTCTCACTCCCGCTCTCACTCTCCCTGTAACTGCATGACTAGGTGAATGTGGCAGGTTGCCGTGGTGAGGTTCAGTCATTATGTAAACTGTTGGCGGCCTGTGCTCATAGACGGAAGCAGAAGATTTAGGGTTGCGTGTGTTTATTTTAGATTGGTTAAATCATTTGCTGTTTCAACAGGACCATTCACTCTCTCCCCAGTTGAAACCAGTAAAGGAGTGAGGCTTTGAAAGATGATTGGGCAACAGCTTTGCCACAGTGATGGTTTTGTGTGGTGAATGCTACAAATAAATAGACCCCAAAACCTGTTTAGCTTTAATACCTGTGTTTTCTAAGCATTTTATCAAGCGATCAGTCAATTGATCACCTAACTGGCACTGTCAGTCGTACACAACAGTGGAATGCATGGCATAATTATTGACATTTCCAAAAATTCTAATAGTCTATTGCATCTTGAAATTTTAGCACAACCGACAAAGTTACATGTGGCCATGAAGCTGTTTATACAATTTGTGTATTTATGTGTGTAGCTGCACGGGAGGCTCAGTGGCAGGAGCGAGAGGAGCGTGCACGGCAGTACTATGAGAAGCAGCTGGAGGAGCGAAGGAGGCGTCTGGAGGAGCAGCGGCTGAAGGAGGACAAAAGGCGTGCCGCTGTAGAGGAGAAGCGACGGCAGAAACTCCAGGAGGAGAAGGTGTGCTCCTCATTCCCTTGAGTGCATGCTCTAACATACATACATACATACATACATACATACATACTAGGGGTGCGGGAAAAACTCGATTCTTAGGCTACGTTTACACAGCAGGTAAAAGTGGCCCAAATCCGATCTTTTTCCTCAAATGTGACACAGATGTGTCATCTGTGTGGCTGTGTGAACAGCAAAAAACGCATTGAATCTGACATTTTCAATTCCGATTTAAAACGCTTTCATATGTGGTACTGAAATCCGATCCGTATCCGATCTGCGGCAATGCAGCTCTGTCTGAACAGCCGGATCGGAATTCATGCGACTTTTACGTCAGTCTAACTCGACATTCGTCATAATTTCGCGCGGCTGAGACTCATAAACATTTAGTCTGATGTTTCTGTACCAAAAAATTAGAAGAGACTCATCAAACCGCTCCATGTTTCGATCGGAACGGCCGAACGCGGCCGGAGGAGCCCGAGGCTGCAGCGTCAGAGAGCAGTTTAAAGAATCCGAGGACACGAACCAAAGAAGCGGCCGAATAACGAGCCCTTTTACGGCGAACCCGAACACACTGTGGGTGATGAGTCCAGCTGTCAACCACTGGAACTTTATACTCGCTCCAGTGATGCTGGCGAAGACGAAACTGAAAGCTGCGGTAGCGACTGGCGTTCACTGGCCGTCATGACTGTTTACCTCTGGACGAGCCGCCACGTGAAGCACTGTTCTTTTGCGCATGCGTGGTCGGTTTAGGAGCTGATCTGTTCAGACTGATGTCGCATACAGGTCACATTTAAAAGATAATGTGAACAGCCAAACAAGAAAATAGGATTTGGTGAGAAAATCAGATTTGGGCCACTTTTACCTGCTGTGTAAACGTAGCCCAAGATGCATCGCGATGCGGATGTGAACGATTCTGAATCGATTCATAAATGTCAAAAATCGATTATCTAAATATTTAATTTATAACGTAATGTTGACGTAACGCAAAAGGCGGAACTGGAAGTGGGTAAGTGCAGCGCCCGGACAGTCTGTGGCGGCACATAACAGAAACACTACTGGATGAGTGAGAAATCCGACCGGCTCCCTCTGCATTAAAGCCAGGTTAGGTCAGGAGTCACAACACAAATGTTAAGAAGAGACATTTTGTCCTTTCAACAAAGTCAAACCACCTTCGGAGCCACAACATTTAATGTCCAGTATGTGATAATGTTCTAGTATGGGCTAAAAATATAAAGGAGAGCGCAGATTTACTTCGCTCTGCTTTAAGCTTCAGCTATAGCCGCTTTCCTCCGATCTCTGCCAGAAAACTTTTCTTCAAAACTAGAAGAGTTTCTTGTAAAATGTCTCAGCATCCGGCTGTTTTACGAGGCTGAAGTCGCTTCTCATTCGCCAGCTTCTCGTTCTAATTTTCTCGTTCCACCTTAAATTCTGCCTTAGGCGCCGAACGTAACTGCTGCACCATTTAAGGTGGAACGGGAAAATTCGAAAGAGAAGCGAGTTCATTTTCACAACTTTTTAGAGAAAGACAGTCTCTTGTTGCAGATTTAACCAACCGCGCTGCTTATAAATGCGAGTAAGTCCCCCAAATGCATTTACATTATGGATCATTACAAATACTTTGCTTTAAAACTACCAAGTCCTCAGACAGTGGGAAGATAGAAATCCTGTATAGAGAAAAAAGATGCATTGAGATGCATCGATAATCATTTTATAATCGCATCGTAGCCCTCTGAATCGTGATTGAATCGTGAGGTGCCTAAAAATTCCCTCCCCAATACATGCATAGTGTTCACCAAAACATTGCTCTACCATTCACATTATTGTACACAATATAGTACACAGACATTTGCAAAGCTTAAAAACACAGCTGCGTCGTCAGAAACTACGTCACAACATCCACATAGAAATTGCACTACAACACCCACAGATACCAAAAAACACTATCATCCTGAATGTCTAGTTTATACAGAATAGTAACTTTACAGCAGAAGGCAAAAACTTTAACTTTCAATGTAAGTTAATGAAAAGAGGTTTTATTCCAGGTTTTTGGAACATTTCTATCGGTCCATTCATCATAAAACATTTACACAATGTAATGGACAACTGTCTGTAAACATGATGATATAAATGGAGATATCGCTGTCTAAAGAAAACCATATGACAACACTAAGATGTCCACATAGATATCATGGCTGCTTGATTTCTATTTAAAAACTACACCTTGGCATCTGTAGTTACCAAAAACTACACCATATTGTTGTTTTCCAAAAACTACTCCTTGAAATTCATATAAATTCCAAACAAGTAACCATGATATCTGTATAAAAACTACATCCTGACATCTGCAGTTGCCAAAAACTACACCATGATTTTTGCAGTTACCAAATAACTACACCATGATATTCGCATAAATGTATTAAAACGTGTACAGACTGCACCATGACACATACAGCTACCAAAAACTACACCATGATATACACATAAATGCTAAAGACTAACCATGATCTCTAAATACTTGATAAAAAAAACTCTCACTGTAACCTCCACAGTTACCACCATATTACCATAATATCCACATAGACATAAAAACTACACCGTGATACCCACATAGTTACCAGCTCCATGGTATCCTCGTAGTTACCAGAAATTAACCATAAACTATACCATATCTGCAGAGTTACTATAAAAATACACAGACGTTATCACGTAAAGGTGACACTGTGGCTTTTGCAGTCAATAGAGGCTACACCAGAAAATGTACGCATTCCCCCAAAAGACTCAAGTGCCGTTTTAACTGTTCTCCTAGCTTATAAGAATTTAAACCAGTTTAAGAACCCAAACGCTTTATAGCACCAGCTGAAATTCTTATATCAGACCCACAACCTGCCAGTTGTAGAGAAATCTGATTAGTGTTTTAAATCACTACTCAAACTGCACCATAAAGTGACTGGCACATGATTATAGGATCATGACCTCACAGGTTTAGAGAAAGGTCATACGACATTAGAGGCAGGGTTAAATTCTCAGCCTGAACTTTTTCTGTGTACCTGCTGTTGCAGTTGTACACACACCTCTCACAGTGCTCATATCCTCCCCTATCTGATCTCCACATTCCTGTGCTCTGTTTGAAGTGGAGCTGAAAGTGTTCTGCAGACCTGTACACAGGTGTTATAAGCTCAGCACCTGCAAGCAAACAGCGGTTAGCATTAACATTAGCATTACAGGAATGTCAGCTTTCACAGGAGTGTCTCCTGTGAAAGCAGGCGGTATGTGTGTATGTTCACCTCTGTTGTGTTTGTGTCTATTCAGATGAAATGCTCAAACAATAATGATCTGAAACACAACAGCCACATTTTCTAAATAATGCTTTACTAAAAAGAAAATTATAGTATGGAGCTCATAATCTGCCTTTAGACCAACAAGAAGCAACGAAATGTCACGTCACGACTGCAACTGGTAGGCTGGCACACTACTTTTATCATTCAAGTTTCAAGCCAAAACAGGCTTTAAACTTTTATTATAGAGAATAATGGCAATTTTTCTCTCAATGTTGGTAAGAAAAATTGCAATTAGATATTTTCTCTGATTTTCTCCTAATTGTTCAGCCCCAGTACCGTGTGCTAGTCCTATTTGTACTTGTAGAGTATATCCATACTTACTTTCTTTTTTCTGGCTTACTTCTCTGTGTATGTGTGTTTGCCAGGCACGCTATGAGGCTGTAATGAGGAGAACTCTGGAAAGGAGTCAGAGAACCAAACAGAAACCCAACCGCTGGAGCTGGGGAGGAGCTCTCACCACCAGCACATCGCACAACAGTGGTAAACACACAACAGAAACCACCTGCACTGTAGCCCACCATACTTAGCAATGCACTAACCACAAGAATATGAAAAATATGATAACATAAAATACAAACCTCACATGCCTTTACCTTGAACTCATATGCATAGTGTAAGTAATGCACAACCAACCGTACATCACATAAGTGCTTCGGGCCAGAATGTCAGCTCATTTTTTCCCCTATTTTTCTTTTCAAACTGTTTTACAGCAGGTTTAAAACTTAAACGCTCAAATAGCAGGTCTGTTTATTATGACAGAATCACAATCACAAGTTTTTACCTTTGCTTGTGTCAGATAAAAGGTCCATCATTGAAAAAATAGCCTCTGCACACAGTTAGAACAGAACAGGAGCTGCTCTGCAACTACTAGGCCAACAGGACCATAACATCTAGATTTTGTTTTTTAAAAATAGTTTAAAATACTATAGGAAGTTGGAACAGTGGCGTGTATTTACATTTTACTTGTGTGCACTGAATAGAAAATTGGCTTTGACACTAGGGCTGGACAATATCGCAGTACTTCACTGTTGTCGGAAGAAAACCTTGTATTTCCAAAATGTTAACTTTACAGGAGAAGGAAAAAACTACGTTACTTTTGATGTAAGTCAATGGAATCAGACTTTTTCCAAGCCCTATTCTAGGGCTATTTGTTTTGGTCCATTAATCATACACACAATGTAAAGGGCAACATGCATTTTCAAATTATATCAAAAACTGAAAAAACAACAAAAATGAAGATACGGGATACGGTTCGCAATACCTCACAGTATGCTTTTCTGGGCATATCGTGGATAACATCAATACTTGTAGAACAGTTAACTAAATTGAGAGTATAATTAGTCCTGTTTAATTGGATTAGGTGCAGTGCGGCATGTGAAACATTGAATAAAAATTGTACTTGTAGTTTTTGATAGTATTTTTTAAAAGTGGCACCATTAGTTCCTTTTAGTCTGTTCCAACATAAGTCAGAAAAAAAATATTCTGACATGTATTGTGAAATTGTAGTTTTGCCATATTGCCCAGCCGTACTTGATACAAGGGCTCGCATTTTGATAGACCAAAGACACATCTAGTTCAGATGGTGTGGCCTACTATACTGATTAAAATAGAAGTTTGTTAGATGGATGAAAATGTACTTTAGAAATGCTTTCGGTGTGTCGTACACAATAAGCCGGTTTTCATCCTGTAGCAGGCATATTGTTCTGAGAATTGTCCATGGCATCATTTAGCTTTGTTTACATGCACACAATAGCCCAGCTAAGTTCTTAAGGCTGTTGTACACTGAGCGCAATTTATTTATTTTAATTTCATTAAAGCCTATGTATAACTGATGATATCTTTCACGCTAAACGCACAGAATGGGATTCGGATGCCAAATTATTTTCTCCACCCTCTATTTGATATTTAGCTGACTTCGGCAGGCTGTATGAACTGACTGACTAATCACGGTCATCTCTTGCGTTGACATGACGACACCAAGATGAGGGATTGGCAGCATTAGATTACTGTCTGCTTTGTCATGGATGGCATTTCCGAAAGCAGCTCAAATGGGGCTCAAACTGGGCTACGGACATTTGAGTTATATGTGGAAGCGCTCAAAAAGTTTCTGCTCCCGAGTAAAGCAATGCGCGCCTTTTCTTTTTTCAATTTTATGAGCAACAGAGAATGTCTTTTTGTTCTTGAAGACATTCTGCCCATTTATTCTTTTTTTTTATTTTTTTTTCTTGTAGTTCAAACGTTCCAAAAAAATTTCACGTCTGGTGTTTATAATTTTAATGCAAAATAATCATGTACAAATGGTTTTGTGTCGTTTATTCGCTTCACATTCAGTGTGTAAAGGCCTTTTAGTTAGTCTAAGAAACCGCACTGAACCAACGTTTGCATGAAATATATTTAAAATAGAACAAAGTTTTTTAATCTAAATGTGCATGTAAACACAATTATTATATTACGTCTTCAGTCTTGTAGTCAGTTTTGAGATTATTTAGATACTCAAACTGTCTCTATGTCTGAGATGTGTTAATGTTCCTGTGCAGCTGCAGGGGGTGTGTGTGTGTGTTTGCGCATAAACGCATGTGTGTTCTGCTTTGCATCTCTTTGCTCTCACACATTTGCTGACTCAGGGTCTGCTTCGACTACCCCCTCCCTTTTGTTTCTCTTTGCTTTTTTCTCCTCTCTCTCTCTCTCTCTCTCTCTCTCTCTCTCTCTCTCTCTCTCTCTCTCTGTCTCTCTCTCTCTCTCTCTCTCTCTCTCTCTCAATCAATCAATCTGTCTCTTCCACGACTCTTCTTTTAATAATCGCTTCCTATCTTGTAACTTCTATTACTTCCTTCCTTCTTTTCTTTCTTTCTTCCTCTGCTCCTCTCACTCTCTCACTCTCGCTGCCCCCTCTCTCAGGTTTTGATGACTCTGCTCTCCTCCTGCCGTTGGACCTGGCTGGGCTGGAGCATTATCATGGTGCTTTTAGCCTGGCGCGTCAGCAGCGCCTGCGCACTCAATGTGAATATGACTCAGAGTAGAGGAGTCCACTAGCCAGCTGACTAGCATCAGCGACCCTAGAATGTAGCAGAGACTGTATGTAGCATGAGACTGTAGATAGCAATAGCATTAGTGTAAAATGGATTGTGTGCAACAGTTAGCATGTAGCCTACAAGGCCTTCCTGTAACAATGATCACAGTTACTTGGTTAACATAAGCATTTATCTGTCTCACTTTTTATTACATCGAGTTTTTTTTGTAGAGACAAAGTTTTCTTTTGTGTGTATTTTTTTGTACGCTTTTGTAAGTATCTAGAATGGTGGTTACTTTTCATTAATGTGAGTGCTGGATCTTTTGAGAGCGTTTCAGAAACTGAAGGTAATAAGAAGCGTGAGACTATTTGTGAGGAGGCCTACATTGCTGCAGTCGTACTTGTCCACATTGTCACATAGATGATATAAGGGCAAGTGAAGGGCATGCATTAACAGTAGCTGTAGTCCATTAGTTTTCCATGAAATTAACCTAAAATTAGTATTTGCTAACCACATTGTATCACAAAAATTTGTGATGCTGGAGCATCAGTCATTTGACAGCCTCTTCCATTTCCTATCACCTTTTCTCTCTTTTCAGTCAGCATTCTCTCTGCACTCAACTAATTCTCTCTGGAGGGCTGTTCAATTTCCAGAAATTCTGGAGTCGACTCCGATGCTGATTCCAAGTGATGAGAATTGATGGAGTCAAGATTCCAAGAGTTGATTCCACACGATGGTTTCAGTTTTTCTATTCCAATCATAAAAACATAAGGAAGGAAAATAAAAAGTGCAACATTAATTAGGTTGATAATATATGTACAATATATGATGTTGTATGTATGCATTTTATGTTATAAATGACAAGGAATCTTGACCTATTGGCGTCAGCGTACACAGCATGTGCACAGCACAAAAAAAGCAGTTTAAAAAAGCTAAGGGAAATATGGGGGTGATAAATGTTTGATGGATATGATGGAATCAACAGAAAAGCTGAATGTTGAAAATAAAGTCACTAAATGTCAACCCATTTAGGAAATCTGCAAATTTATCATACAACACATTCCTGAAACACAACAAAAAGGATTCATGCAACCAAAAAATGTTTATTTCCAATTTTTTTGCCACCTGCCACTACAGAAGCACGAATATTGGTTGGTGGGGCATTGCTCCACTAAATGACCCCCTAATGCAAGGCCTCTTGACATATTAACTTAATGTGCTGCCACATCAATTGTTCCTCAGAGAGATGAAATATCAGCTGAATTATGTGTATTAGATCTTAGCAAGGCAGTTTGGAGAGATAACTTTAGGAAATTTACTGTTACAAATTTTACAATTTACTTTATAAACTACAATTCAGCCAATTGATGCGGGAAAACTTGAACATCACTATGTCGAAATGAGCACAAAGCTTTGACATCAAATCCCAATTCCTAATTACCTGGAATCAGAGAATCGACTCTATTTGGGATCGACTTCCAGCCCTGTCTGTTTTTCTGTTCCCTGTTTCTGCAGCACGCTCTCTGTGCACAACTTGTCCTTTCTGTTTTGTCCTGTCTGATGTCGTTGTCTCTGTGTGTGTTTGTAGATGCTGACAGAAGGTCAGTCTCCACCATGAATCTGTCCAAACACACAGACCCAGTCATAACCAAACGCTTATCCTCCTCTTCTGCCACGCTGTTAAACTCACCAGACAGAGGTAACCACACAAACGCACACACACTCAGATACCAAAACACGGATCCAGACCTTTTTGTTCTATGTGCTGTTCTTTGTTTCTCATTGTGTTTTCACTTTTGTTGGTACTGTAAGGTTGACTCACTCACACAATTGCACACATACACAATGAAACGAGCTGTTACTTGACTCTTTTTAGCTTTGTGGTCAATTTAAAGATCTCTATACTGTTCAAAGTTGTCATGGATAACAATGGAGTTGGTGATGAATGTTCATTTCTGTTTAAATGTACCTCAAAACTCAACTTTGTGTCAATGGCAGTCAAACTTGTGATTTGTGATTAACAGGCGTATGATTGTTGTGTTTTGTGCTGTTGGTCTAAGCCTTACAGAAGCGGACGTCCCTTTCTTCCTCTTGCTTAGTAAATAAAGTTCAGTCTAAAGCTCGAGGTTCCAGAGAGAAGATCCAGCAGGACAAACCCGCAGGTGGTCCTGGGTTAAACCCAGCAGTTATTTTTCTCTCTCTCACAGGAAACACACATTCACTGGTTACACACAGATCCAGCTGGAATTTTGGGGTGAATTTTGTGTTTAGGGAGCAGCTAAGAGAATTTAACATCCTGTCTAATCCCCGTATGAGTAGCTATTTGGATATTAAAGGGGCATTCCGGCCTAACACTTGCATTTATTGTGTTATTTGTCAAGTTATGTGGTATTCAACTGAGCAGCATTGTATTCCTCAGCCTCGTTGGTTTGACAGAATTCACAATTATGTCATTTTCATGTTTTCCTTTATGGAGTTCTCTTACTACAGTACCTAGCAAGCATTACACACGTACACTATATGGCCAAAAGTATGTGTATGTCACACCTATTGTCAACAGGTGTATAAAATCAAGCACACAGCCATGCAGTCTCCTTAGACAAATACTGGCAATAGAGTGGGGTCGTACTTAAGAGCTTAGTGACTTTGGCACTGTCATAGGATGCCACGTCTTTCCTAAATCTGCTCTGGTGAACTATAAGTGCCATTATTGTGACAAGGCAACATTTAGGAATAACATCAGCTCAGACATAAAGTGATAGACCATGTAAACTCACAAAGCAAAGGAGACATTTTATACAATTCTATTCTTCCAACTTTGTGGCAGTGTTTTGGTGAAGGCCTTTTCCAGTTCCAGCATGACTGTGCATCTGAAGCGAGATCCATAAAGACATGATTTGCCAAGTTTGGTGTAGATAAAGTCCAATGGCCTGCACATTGAATGCCCATTGAACACCTTTTGCATAAATTTAAACATTGATCACAAGCCCGGCCTTCTCATCCAGGATCACTGCCTGACCTCACAAATGCTTATTTGACTGAATGGACACAAATTCTCACAGACATGCTCAAATCTTTGAGAAAGCCTTCCCAGAAGAGTGGAGGCTGTTATAGCTGCAAATATGGGGGCCAACTCCGTATTAACGCCCATGGTTGTGGAATGAGATGTCCAACAACCTCATGTCGGTGTGATGGTTAGGTGTCCACATAATTTTGGCCATGAAGTGTATGTCGTACAACCATTGTGAATTCAGTTGTTGCTCAACCAGTCATAACTGCTAGCCTAGCCACTGATCCACAAGCTGATAAAAACAGCCAAGTTAGCATTAGTGTAACTCTGACCTTAGTTGTTGAACAAGATAAAAATGATTATCTTTATCAAAGAGACTATTGAATTGAAGAGTCGTTGGGTATCTGGATAGATATGTAACTACCTTGCTAACATTCTAATGAGTGAGTTCTGTCATTCAAGTAATCCATTATTTCCTTTATGATGATTTGACGACACCACAGATGTATGGCATATACTCAGTTTGCTAACAGTATCATTAGCTATCTGGCTTCCTTCTGCGTTCACCAGCTGACAAATAAAAAACTTAAACACCCAGCTCCCAAAACATCCACCCAAAAGTAGTTGTAGTTTTGTAAGTTCCTTCTACCCCCAAGATGCTTCATCAGGAGGGGGTTGTTCTGGTTTTTAACCTGGAAAATCTCGCTCTAGAGACTGTTGCAGCACCACTGTAGTACGTATGAACAGCAATGGTTAAACTTGTAATTTTGGCCAGAGTGTCCCTTTAATGTTTATGAACATTCAGAAGCCAGTATCTATAGATCTGTAAAATCAGCCCCAAATCCTGTTAGTGTTTAGGTGAATGTGTGGGGAAAATGTGGCTATGGGACAAAATATAGAATGTTTGCACACACTGACTGACTGGTTTATTAGTCTTGAATGTATTGTGACGGTCTATTATGATTATACTCTCTAAATCCACCTTCTGTCCATGCTTGCTTTGATTGAATGACATGCTGTTGCTGCCCTGTATATTGAATTGCCCATGTTTACTTTGTGTATTGTAGAGCACACATTGCAAAACTTGTATGCAGTCCAGCAGTGCATGTATTCCTGTCCCATACTGAGGTCAAATGGGCTGACTTACCTTGTGTATGCCATGTCATTACTGTGTCGCATGTTTGGCTGGTTGCTAATGTTTGGGCTATCAGTCTTTTTATTGGTTGGCCAGATTTTTTTAAAATTTCCATTAATCAGCCAGTAATCAAACAACATCTAATCGATGGATAAATGTTTGTGTGTTTCAGGTATGCGTCGTATGCCTCTAACTCCATGGGAAAATACTGTAGTCAATCGCTTACAGACCCCAACTCACTCTTACCTGGCCAGAAGCCGTAGTGCTATGTCACTGTCTGGAGATGCAGGTAAAATAAATAAATAACTAATAAATAATAAATAAATGAACAAATAAAATGCAAACGCACAGTATGATTGCTCTTACTTGGTTGTTCTGAGGTGAATAAAGTCAAATGAGGCTAATCCTCTCTCCACATAGATTAGTGAAAAGCTGTCTGTTTATTTCTTTCATATGTAATATCACTTCTGCAAAGCCCAGATTGGATGGAAAGGTTAATGATGCAGCCTGACACACAGAATCCTGACTTCGAAGCTGTTTTGGGATTGTCTGTTGAATATAAATGCATTCGGGTCTGACTGATATATTGTTTTGATGATAATATTGACTGATATTCAATGGATTTACCTACATTACTCTAAGAGCCTTAATTAAAGCCATGCAGCCTGAACTGGCAAATTAGTAAACACAAAAGGCCATCATGACATAAAATCTAAACCTGCTCCTAAACCTGTAAATATCCTGTTATAGTGCAAAAATTTTTTCTTTCTCCCCAGTGCTGCAAGATCTAAATGTAGTTTTATCTGGGGAGGTACTGTAATTTTAATGATTACCCAGGAGATCTTAATCCAATATGAACCTACAGTCTGTTACATTCTGAGTTTTTACAAGTCTGGAGTAAAAACCTTCTACAATTCACCAAATCTGGAGTAAGTAATAGTAGTCGCATTCCAAATGTCTTCAGAGCAGAGACAGAGTGGGAGTCTAAAATCTGTGCAATTTCATCATCATTTATTTCTCTTATGTATTATTTATATGCTGCACTGAGATAGCTACTGATGAAATGGAAACTGGTGAAAGCATAATCATGACAGCCTATATGCTACAAACTAACGCTAGCTAAGTTAAGTTCAGCATTTCTCACCGCCCACCTGCTCAGATATGTCCTCATCCCTCATAAGTAGATTTTTCTTTCTTGTCTTCTCGGTGCCACCTTGGTTTTTTGCAGTTCTTGCCACTGCTGCTCGTCTTCACGTGACTCACGAACAAAAAAAAAATCAGTCATGTGAAAAAAGAACTCTGAGCTCTAGAACTCTAGAGCACTGCCTCCGTTCCACCTTAAGCAGTGCAGCGGTTACGCATTACTGTCTGTACAGGTGTCTGAACTTACCTGTTATATCATTTAGGGTGGAACGGGAAATGAGAATAAGAAGCTAACAACAGCTTCATTTACAGTTCTTTTATCCCTAAGATCAAACAGGGCTAATTGCATAATTAAGTAACTTGGAATGTGATTTTGGTCTTGTTGGGTGGCATTTGGTAAGTTGAGTAAGGCCCCTTTACTAGTCTAATGCTATTGTAGCTAGCATTAACTGGAAGTTTTTGTTGTTTGGATCCGTTTAATTTTAATCTTAATGCTGACGTGAATGTCCAGTCTGTGATGTTTTGATTCAGATTGCGTGGGGTAATCTGACAGTTAACTAAAATTATTGTAGTCTGTTTAAAAATCTATATTGGTTTATCATCTGTTATTAGAGCTGCTTTATAAATAAAAAAAATTTCATATCGGTCAGGCCCCTAAATAGTGAAAACTGAAATGTAATACATAGTATGTGGATGTTTCCTTCCAAAACCTTGATAACTTTAACAAGCAGACCTTTTAAGGACCAGCTTCCTATATTCAAAACGGGGAGGGAGGGAGAGTGAGAGAGAGATGAATATTGTAGAATAGAGCTCTGCTTGGCTGGGTTCGTCTCTCGTTTTGTGAAACAAAACAGCTCTTTCAGGGGTTCTCTCTGCCCTGCACTGTTACCACGGTTACAGCCGTGCCCAGTTACTGTCGGCTTGGTTTTATATCAAACTGTGTGTGTGTGTGTGTTTGTGTGTGTTTGTGTGTATAAAGGTCGTCTTTGCTGTATGTGTGAGTAATCTTTAGACTCTTATGCTGCTTCACTGTGTTGGCATTACTGGGGCTTGGTTGTCTCTCAGTGTGTTTGTGTGACTGTTCATTCTGCTCTCACAGTGTGCACTTGCTTACCTGGGCATTCTGTCATTGATTCTAGTTCATAATTAATGCTTGAGCTTAAAACCTGCATATGTGGAGCTCAGTCATCACCAGCTATTAGGGCTGCACAATATAACGTTTGTTAATCGTTGCTGCAAAATTGGCTTTTGCAATACTGATGTCAGAGAAGGCTGGGGCATGCAAATGAGCCTCTAATAAATCACACTAAATCACATTATTGCGCACCGAGAGCATCCTGATCAAATCTCTGACTTTTCCAGATCAGTATTTGTGGGTGTTCTGATTAGTCAAGAGACATCATCACATCAAGACTTCACCACTGTGTTTCAGTATACTTCAAGCAAGGATACATATTTGTATCTAGATTGCCAATAGAGGGCACTGTACTGAACACTTACTTTCTTAGAGACTTGCATCGTTGTTGTTGATTTTTAAAAGATTTTTCTCTAAGATACGCATCACATTCCATCACAACCTTTGTTCCGATTAACAGAATACTAATTTCTATGGGAATCACTGTTATGTTAGCACCAAAGCTTACTGAGGATTACGTTCACTGGATTTATTTACACATGGCAGCCCTACATAAAAGAGAACATTTGAATCTTACATGTAATGTTCTTTACTGTAGTTTGCAGTTTCTCAGTGAATTCTCCAGTAAACAAATATACTCAAGAAAACACACACACACACACACACACACACACACTCACATTCACACACCTTTTTAGATAGCCAAAGTATGCTAAGATTCATGATACACAGTCATAAGCAAAAGTTTGGGCACACCTTGTCAAATGACGTTTTGTTGATTTGAAGTGAAAATAAGTTACAACATCCTCTACAGAGAACACACTCCTGCACATTTTAATACACAGTTGCTGTTAATTTGCTAAACCTGAACATATTGGGGAAAAAATCAAACGTGAAATGTGACCTGTGCAAAAGTAATGGCACCTTTATGTTGTTCAATTTGTTAGTAAACGAATAAAAATTCTGTGCTACAATTTGCATAAAAATGTCATATTTTGTATGTTCCCTGTGGAGGCAGAGGTCATCAACCCTCCTCCTGGAGATCTGCTTTCCTACAGAGTTTAGCTTCAACCTACATTTAACATGCTGCTCCCCCTGCATACCTAACACGAAAGCATCTGATCCAGCCAATCAAAGACTTCTGAAGAAGTTAACTAGCTGGAGCAGGTGTGGCAGATTGTGGTTGGAACTACACTCTGCCTGAGGGTAGATCTCCAGGACCAAGGTGACCACTGCAGGATGAACTCATTGTCACTTAGGAAATCAACAAAACATGCAATTTGACCAGGGGTATTTGAACATTTGTATATGACTGTATATTCAAATAGCTACAGGCTTTGCTATGAAAGCTACATTAGGGTTACATTGAGAGTTACATTAGCCATAAAAACAACTTCTACATGGACTTAGCACAACCCGTAAATTGGGTATTTTTGCAGGAAAAGCCCAGTACGCAGCTTTTTTTTATTATATGTGCAGTTTTTGAGAATATGTTGACATTGTCCTTAGACAAGCATTCATTTTACAGTGCAGGGAAGGAGTACCAGTATGGCGGCCAAGCAGCTTCACTTTGTTGTGTATATAATGACCCCATCAGCGGTCTAGTTCTCTATATATATCTGTGACTGCAAGTCAGATTATATCACCATATGTAGCTGTGTAATCAAAATCTGTTGTACGTGTTGTGCAGCCCTATTGGCTACTATTTCAGGGGATCCAGTTATGGGCCACACCCAACACGCCTTTAGCCGCATTAATTTCTTTGAATGTCATTATGGTAATCCTGGCCCCTTCCCTCAGGAATAATTGTAGTTGCTGCATGCCTTTGTAGTGCTTTGTAGATGCTAACACACACTTTCTCTTTCTTTTCCTCCCTCTCTCTTTTTCATAATACACCTTCACTTCCTCCATCTCTTTTTCATAAAACTTTGTTTTCCTCCATCTCTCTCTCTTTTTTTTTTTTTATCTATCACCTTCACTTCTCTTGTCCACCCCTCCTTCCTGATCCCTCATTCCTCCTGTTAATTAAATGCATAATCTCACTACATGGCCTGGTTGGCTGCTTAACCTTTGACCCCTCGTTCAGTGACCCCCGTTTGTCCTCGCTCAGCCTCCTGTCACCCAATGAGCTCGCTGTCCTTCAAGTCCCTGCAGTCACGCAGTGCTGAGAGGCCAATCAGAGCAGGTCTCAGCCTTGAACGACCCATCAGAGCTGGATACGTTGGCCCCGATACCATCCCCCGCAGAAAGACGACTCATAACATACCGGTAAGAAGAGTGCATCTAATAGACATGATGTAAAAGCTGTGCATTTGTAGGTGATACTGGAGTGCGTAATAGCAACATAGCCTTCATTTACCAGTCCATAGAGTCCAAATATGGAACCAAAGCTGCCAAACAGCCCTTGTTGAATTCATGGTTGTGATGTCACAACCACAAACACATTTTCAGAGATCTCCCTTATTTATTTAATTATCCATTAAACAGCCATGAAGTTATTCATTCTTTGTAATATTTTGTGATTTTTTATTTTTTTTTTCCCTTCTGTCTGACTTATTATGGGTATTAATGGGTGGTCTTTCGCACTGTACTTTACACATAAGCATCCTTTCAGCGTACTATAGTTTAGCCTGACCAGTCACACTAAAATCATAAGGTGTGTTGTTCCTATAGCAGAGGAGCACAACCAAAGTTGTTTATGTATCTGTTTTTAAGCACAGAAATGTAAAGTTATTCAATTTAAAGGATAAAATGGTTAAAAATGTAAAATTGGACTAGATTTTTGTTGCATTAAACCACACAAACATTAAGCTTTGACTTGTTTTGGTCTGAGCTGACACAAATGCACACTTCAGTCTCTGTGTTTTGCCAGGAGCTTATGTCGTTAAGGAATTATGTCTAAGACCCAGGAACCACTAACCTACACGGGACACAATCAGTCTGTTTTGTAGGAGTGCATGCCAGGAAAACTGTTACCAGCTACAACCAGCCTTTATCCCTTTCCTGCTTTCAAGCATTTTTCACACCACACTGAACTGTGCTTGTTACTCGAAATATGGCCATCATTCTTACACTCACCAATCTACACTCACTGTCCAGCTCTAACTGCTCAGACTTCTTGTATTCCACCTCATGTACTGTCTACCATCTCCGTCTACCAGGGGTGGGTTTCTAGAAACACAGAGGCTGTTTACACCTTGCATTAACATGTATTTCTTGTCTAGATCATATCTGGAGATATAGTTGTGTGCAAAAATTGACCCCTGGCCAAATTACATTGTTGATTTTTTTTTAAGTGATAAGAAGGTAACACAACCTCTGCAGCAAATTATTTCTCTGCAAATGTCAACACAATTATTTTTATATTTGATTAAGTTATTGTCCTCTGACTCTTCAAACCTTGTGATTACACTCAACAACCAAATGAAACTAATTGATGCCTACAAAGCTAAATAAAAATATCAGTGTGCTTCCAGCTCACAGTTCCCACATAATCTGCATGTAAGAGTCAAAGGAGGACACCTTACCTGTGACATCATCACAAAAATGTCTGAAGTATGCAAAGCAACATGTAGATAATCCATTTTGGAAACAAGTGTTGGAATGGAAAATAGAATGGAAATGGAAATCTTGGGCCACAGTTGCATATAGGAGCAGCATTTGATGAAAAGAACACCTTGCCAACTGTTAAACATGGGAGTGTTCTGCTGAATCTGCTGTTATATTTGCCAAAGGGAGTGTTAGCAAGTACTGACTTAATTGGGTGTCCAAACTTTTGCACATGCCACAACCACTGTTTTATTTTTTTCTACTTATTATCAAATATAAAGTACCTTAAGAGTTTGGTCTGATGGGATCCAATTTTATTTTCCTACATGAGAGCACATCAACTCGTACTTTGTTTACATACATTATATACTTTTATTTACTCCCCCTTTGGCTTAGATGCTTTCATTGGTCCAGAGTGCAAGAAGGCACTTCAGTGTCAGGAAAACTGCAGCCTCTTGTGTTTCCTTGTAATCTGAACACAATACGTTCTGGGTGTGTTTTACGTGTGGATTTTCATGCAGTCAAGTGGCATGCAAATCTGATCTGACCACCGAAAACACATGTTGATTCAAGGTGTAAATAGCCTTACAGTGACCCCATCTACACCTGACCCTTTTATGCATCCTCAGTGTGAGAATTATATCTGGATAGGGATTATCCACATATAAATGCAGGTATAAATGCACCCAGCAGCTGCATTGGACTACCAAGTGTAAATGTGGGGACTCATTTTTTCTTAGGATATGATCCAGATACGAGTCGCAGGGAAATGACCAGGTGAATAACTAGGTCATGAGGTAATGGGTATATTTTGCTGGTAGAAAAAGCCCCAGGTATAATTCTCGTCCCAGGTTAAGTAATAATAATAATAATAATAATAATAATAATATTAATTCCAGATTTTAAAATGGCCTCACATTTTAGTCCGTCGTGGAACATGTGCGCAGTATAAACTCTAATCGCCAGTGGGCCTAGTAATTTATTTTCCCTTTTTTTCCCTCAGTAGTGCCATCTGCTGGACAACAACTCAACTGAAGAGTAATATACAACAGTAGCTTTACACCTTTTTGCCACCTGCTGTTGTCCTGCAGAGCGATAGCAACACTTTTTTTTTCTGAACCGTGTGACAAGATTAAGATAAGGATTTTCTGCCTCAGGTCTCGTTGTTAATTGAAATGTGTTACCTCAAGGCTTGTGATGCTAGTCGTGTAACAGTACACAGTAAGAAAGATAGTTGGTGCTATGTGATCATTTTCTGTATATTTAATGAATTGGGAAGAACAGACTGAATGCTGCTGTCTGGCTTTGCTTAACAGTTGAAGAGTTGTTCTTAAAAGTTGTGTTTTAGTGAGTGTTGCGTGTGCTGTATTTGTTGTTTAGCTGTGTTTTATGTGGTTAGGTTGATAGGAAGGATAAGGACTACGTGAGAAAGTCTTGGAGTAATCTGTCATATCCTACTCCAACACTGACCCCGACACCCTTCAAGAGAGCACCCTCACCCGGCAGCCAGCGCGGCAGAGCCAGTCAGCCTTTGTCTGTCAGGTACGTATGCACACATACATAGATACATACATACATGCACTGCTCGCAAGTTTGGGGATACCCAAAGTTATATCACTTTAGATCAGGGTTTTCAAGCTCAAATTACCAGGGTGCCACTAGAAAAGGTGGTCTTTTCTAAGTTGGGCAAGTTGAAAAAAATGCAGAGCAAAAAAAGTGTCCCGTGTGTGTGTTTTTTCCCCGTATGCATTTTAAGTACATGAGGTTTTTCATCTAATATTTTATGTGATTTTGTAAACAAAAATATAGGAAAAAATGGGAAAAAAGTTGTAAAGTATAGTATTTAAACACATAAAATATTATCATAGTACATCTTTGTCAGTGTTTTTAAGCAATTCTTATAATCTAGGGCCAGTAGTTTAAGACCTCTGTTTAAATACTCGGCTGCAAACTCCATTTCAAGGTCCTCAGAATGCTTTGATTGATATTGATATCCTTGATATGAGGAGAGCAGGTCTTCTAAATAATGATTAGACTCAGCTAAGTGCTGACATCAAAACAAGAAGACATAATGTGTGGGTTTGGCATTATTCCCAAAGTGGGATTTTCAGTAAAATTCTAGAATGTTTTCAGGAAAATTGGTACACCAGAGTATCCCACTGTTCTAATGAGGAACCCATACAGGGATCAACAAGCCACAGTCATGACAGAAAACAGACAAACCGACTGGTTCCACTTCAGCAAAGGTGTAAGACAAGGCTGCAAGGCTACCATCACCATACCCACAATCTCAGTTGGACCAGATCACAACGTAACTCAAACATTTTTTCTTTACGCTGTGTTTTGCTTTTGGTTTTCAGGAGTTCCGCTAAACCACCTCAGAAGCCTCCCGTGTCCAAAAAATCCAGATCTCCACCTCCACCAGCTTCCCTCCCTCTGTCACCCAGCAACCCCTCTCTGTCTCCCGGTAACCTGCGGCCCAACAGGGTGGCATCAGAGAGCCCCAGAGTGACCCCGGAGGGCGAGAAGGCCAAGAAGGAGGACGAAGGGGAAAAAATAGAGGCAGAGGAGGGCAAGAAGGAAGCAGAGGAGGCAAAAGGACAAGAGGAGGTGGAGCCAAGATCAAGCACTGCCAAGACAGCAGCAGAGGCCACAACACCAAAAGCAGAGCCTGCCAGTGGTTAGAGCGCTCATTTACTTTTGCATATGCATATACACATGCTCATTAGGTCTGAATGATGTGGACAGAATACCAGTATTGTGATTTATATTAGTATATACACTATATGGACAAAAGTATTGGGACACACCTCTTAATCATTGAATTCAGGTGTTTCATTCAGTCCCATCGCCACAGGTTTGTAAAATCAAGCACCTAGCCAGGCAGTTTGCCTTTATAAGCATTTGTGAAAGAATGCTATGGAGTTGTTTTTCAGGGGTTGGCCTAGACCCCTTGTTTCTAGTTAAGGGAAATCTTAATGCTTCAGCTGACCAAGACATTTTGGAAAATTGTATGCTTCTAACTTTGTGGGAACAGTTTGGGGTAAGGCCCTTTTCTGTTCCAGCATGACTGTGCACCAGTGCACAAAGCAAGGTGCATAAAGGCATAGTTGGGTGAGTTTGGTGTGGAAGAACCTGACAGGCCCACACAGAGTCCTGACCTCGACTCCACCAAACACCTTTGGGATGGGCTAGAACAGAGATTGCAAGCCAGGGCCTCTCATCCACTGTCAGTGTCTGACCCCACATATGCTCTTCAGGATGAATGAGCAAAAATTCCTACAGACACACTACAAAATCTTGTAGAAAGCTTTCCAGAAGAGTAGAAGCTGGTATAGCTGCAAAGTGGGGACCAACTCCATATTAATGTTTATGCATTTAGAATGGGATATCATAAAAGCTCCCATAGGTGAAATGTGTAGGTGTCCCAATACTTTTGTCTATATAGTGTATTTTGATTGTGATATGGATTGCTGCATCATTGAATCAATGACTGATTGTGATATTGTTAAAGATTGCTGTGCAGTATTTTAGTCTCATGGGCATGTGCTCCCGTAATGAGAACATACTGGGGATGACTTTTTAAATTTTTGATGCTGGCTTATGGCAAAATCTGCAGTGTAACAAGAGTACGCACATTCTAAAACCTGCACCAGATTCCTCTAGTGAGTGCTCTTTTAGCATCCTCAGTACAATTGATCATACAAGCAAAACAAATGAGCTATTCTTACGCCAGAGATAGTGTTTATTTTTAAAGCATGTAGCAATGCGTTCCATGCATACACAACTTTACACATCTACATGCTCAATTGTAGTTTTTGGGGAGCGTTTTTATTCATGTTAACTTACATTAGTAGGCTTGTTATTCATTGGACAGCACTTAAGAGTGCACCATCACTCCTTACTTTGAGCTCCGCCTTTATGAGTAGGATTAGTTTAGAAAATGTATGCTCTCTTTGTTCCCACCCTGATAAGTCTTAATTTCCACCTTAATTTAGCCCAAAATTTCCCATGGTTGTCCTCTGACATTCTTATCACAACTCTGGCCCCACGAGACAAGCAGTATTTTAACCAAAATTTAAAAGAATTACATTTGTTGAATTACATGCATAACTTGATTGATCAAAACACCCGCAAAAGCCCTTATCTGGAGCTGTGATTGATCAGGAAGGTCACAGCCTACAGCAAAAACCACTATGATTGATTTACATATTTCAAGCCTTCTGTGGTATCAGCATCGTAAGACCATTGTGGTGATAATGATTAACGAACAATACATTGTGCAGCCCTAACGCTCTCTGTGTATTTCATTATGTTCACCCGTATAATCTTTCACTGCAATTGTAGTCAGTTTCTCCCATCATCTCTGCATCTGTGTTTTTGTCTCTCTGTATGTCTTTGTAGAGAGTGTTGTTAGTCCTCCAGCTATTAGAACATCTGCGGGCACTACTGACCCAGAGGAAGCCTCTCGCCTGCTGGCTGAGAAACGACGGCAGGCCCGAGAGCAGAGGGAAAGGGAGGAAGAGGAGAGGAGACAGCAGGAGGAGGCTGAGAGGTGTGTGTGTGTGTGTGTGTGTGTGTGTGTGTGTGTGTGTGTGTGTGTGTGTGTATCTTTGAAGTGTTTGTGTCTTGATGTTGAGTGTGAATCATCGATATCATGGTAGATAAAATTTCTAGGGATGTCCTGATGTGATCAGAAAGATGCATTTCTGAACCAAGGCATATTTTTTGGCTCTGTATCTGTAATGTTAAACCTTATTCCATTCTGATTCTCTGGTTTTATCCCATTCTTTACCTTCTATTTATGCCACTGTCATTGATGTGACATAAAAAGACATACCTGCTGAGTGAGATACTTCAATTAGATTGTTTAATGAACTGTAATGACGTTTAAATTTGCTCTGTACGGCTGTAATATCTCTCAAAATGCAAATATGGGAACAGACTCAGTATTAGCGAATACTCTAACTTCACTCCATTTTACTGCAGCCATGAAATGTAGCCTTGAATTTTAATATTTTTGTTAAATAATTGAATTAAAATGTAATTATATTTTGAATGAAACTATTTTATTTGATTACGTTCATAAAAATATCAGATGAGTCCTTTTCCATTCTGCCAGCTGGGTGGCGCTATGAGGCCTGCAGAAAGTGATTAAATGACATTATGATGGTAGACGCTGTCTGGCAAAGTGGATATTCTATTGTTTTCTTGTCACTGGAACTTTCTGTCAAGAGTTCAGTTATCTTTTGCCACCGAATTCAACAGTGGAATAAACTGGATGTCGCTTTTTTTCTTCTTTTTTGTGGAGCCATGTACGTTATCTGAACCTCTCATTGTTGAAGTAAAGGCACACCAATTATTTTGCAACAAAACTTAAAATAGTAGAGAGCATCTTCCTGCCTTTTTACCATTTTTAAATAAACAATATATGTTGCTAAACCTCTTCTCTGATAATTAACCATTTTTGGCAATGAAGCTGTCACCATACCTGGCTGCATGCCATCATCGATTGTGTACCACTAAGACAGGGAGCTAATTTTTTTTCAGTATCAACATGTAAATGCAGCATAATATTTTCAGAACTTAATCAATAGAAATGGGTTAATTATGCACAGGCGCCACAGAGAGGAGATGGCACGGAAGAAAGCGGAAGAGAAAGCCAGAAGAGAGGAGGAGGCTCAGCGTCTGGCCGAGGAGAAGAAACGTAAAGAGGAGGAGGAGAGACGCTTAGCAGAGGAGAGACTGCAGAAAGAGAGGGAGGAGGCAGAGCGCCTGCAGAAACAGGTCAGAAATCACACACACACACCTCTCTGAACAAAATGACCAGTGCCTTGCAAAAGTATTCCACCCTCTTGGAAGAACTTTTTCTGGATATGACATTAGCATGTTTACAGTGTTTTATTTGGTATCTTAGATGCTCGTAAAATACTTTTTAAAACTATATTTGATTTAAAGATATATTTATTGAGATATTTGGCTGCAGGTATTTGTGGGATATATACACCTGCAGACACATTATTATTGTTTGGCATTTACTTTTTTTTTTACTGTTATATATGTTTATTCCCCTTGTATTCATTTTAATATGTCACTTTGAAGCACTTTGCAAATTGAGTTTAGGAAAGTGCTGTAAAAAGATGACTTACTTACTAGGGATATTTTTTAAAGAAGGAGCATAAGGGTTTGGATTCCTATACAAGAAGCATATTTCTTAAGCTTGTTAAGAGCCTGTTTTTTTTTAACAAGCAGTTAAGCAGACTGCTAATGGGATAATAGGTGACTCCAGTAATATTACTTAGCCTTTAAGTACAAATGTCTATTGAATGTTTGACTGCATATCTGGAAAATATGAATAGTCCATGTGTAGACTGTGTAGGCTAAATATAAAGTAAAGGTTTCCACATTAAGCACTCTTATTTCATTGCAAATAATGCACATAGATTCTGAAATACATTCAGAGCATATCTTTGACATTTAAAAACAAAAAATAGTTTCTTTCAAGAAAGTTAAGTATGTTTGCAGATCACTCTAAGTGTGTCCAACTAGAAATCACATTGCACAGGTGAATGTAGAATACATACAAAACTCATAAGGTTAACAAAATGTGTGTGTGGTTTAACAGAAGGAGGAAGAGGAGGCCCGCCAGCGTGAAGAGGCTGAGCGTTTACGTCAGGAGAGAGAGAAACACTTCCAAAAAGAGGAGGCTGAGAGACTGGAAAGGAAGAAGGTATGCTGTTTTTGTTTTTCATTAATGTGCTTGGTGTTTTTGTTTGTGCTCATTGATGATTTAAGAACACTCTGTGCTTCCACAGCGCCTTGAAGAGATCATGAAACGCACACGCCGATCTGATCAGGTACTGTAAAAGACGCAAATACACCTTACTGAAGTCCTGTTTCTGCATCTCCCTTGTCTGTTTGGTCATAAATGACATCTACATAATCTTCCTCAAACCTCAAATGTAATCGACCCACCAAGACACGTTTGGTTTGGTGTCTGAAGTTTGCTTCTTTAGGTTTGCACTGTGAGGCTAATGTAACAAATAAGTAATGGAAACTTGAAGCCATCAGATACAAACTGAATGCCTGAAACATCATAGACTTTCTTCAAACTGTGTGAAGTTGTTAAAGTCTAATTGAGATTACTTACATTGTTTCTGACACTGTTTGGTATAATGTTATCTATAAATATGGACAAGTATGTTACAGAGTTAAAACAATACCAGCGGCCATCTTACAGTCTGGATATTTTTCATACTTCTGTCCATTTGTAAGCTTCCATTACGTGTTGGCTACATTAGCTTTGTAGCTTCAGGGCAAAACTAATTTTGGGGGAGGTTGAAGACTGTATATTTTTATTTTCCCCTGAGCCGTGGCCTCTAAGTGCTGAAATCTCTCACCTGGTTGCTTTATTTGTTGTTGGTCTTAAATCTGTTTCTCCTGTATGCAGAAAAGCACAACCCAGAGGAATGGAGACATGAGCCAACAGCGTGGTCAGGACTCTGGTAAAACCATGCTCATGTATTTTATTTTGTTCATTCAAATTAGTGTACTGCCCTAAGCAGCACACTGTCGAATCATTGATAAATGCTTTATCACCTTGAGTTTCTCATCAAGGTTGTGGGACTTGTAGAACATGTGACCATGAAGGAGGCGCTAGACTTCTAGCCACTCGTATGCCGTAATGCAAAGCTTGGTTTTTGAAGCTTTTCTGTATGCAGTGGTTTTATAGGTAGTGTATGTTCTGTGTGCAGATATATTCTGGACCACTCGCTACATGTTTATAGGCCAAGTTATTCTTTTTTGATCTATTTTATAAGCTATGGATGGGGGGGTTAGGGCCTTCAAGTTGCTGGCTCACCTTTCTCACCACTCAATATCAACCACGCCTGGGAAGAACTTATCTGATACCAGCAACCTTTTGTCTGGGAACTCCTTTGATAAGTCACTTCTACTGTAGAATCAAATGGAGTAGTCTGTTCTGAGAGAAATTCCCCAATAAAGATGAATGATTAGTTGACAGCAAGGTGGCTCAGGTTTCTGCTTAATGTCTGTCCAATTTTGGGTTCACTCCTGTGTAGATAGTTTGATTGATTGATAGTTTGATCAAGGATATGAATTTGGAGTTTTCTCCCTTTTGCTGGAGTAACAACCTCTACTCTTATGGGACAAATTTAGACTAGATGTTGGAACAGTGCTGTGAAGATCTGGTTACATTCAGCCGCAAGAGCATTAGTGAGGTTGATGTTAAATGATTAAGTTCTGGATCAGAAACGCCACTCCAACTCATCCTAGAGGTACTGGATGGAGCTCCATCACTCCAGAGGACGCATTTGGGGGATTTTATACCCCTCTAGCAGACACTTGGCATTGGGAATGATGACCTTAGGCTCGTGTGTGGCAGCTACAGAGCGCCCAAATCCATTATTAACGCTTTACAATGGAGATTATACAAGCTGTGTTGAATACCTGTGTCAACAGTGGATGCGCCTTAGAGTAGGACACAAATTAGAAGGGGGTGTCTGGATAGTTTTGGACACAGTGCACTTCAGTTCAGATGCCAGTCAGATTTTTTTCTTAAGTGGTCTCTTTGTTATGAATTCAGCCCCTGGAAGCCCTTCGGTCACCGTAACCTCTCCACAAGCCCCTGAGGCCTCACAGCACAGTGACAAAAACGGACACGCCAACCCCAGCCTCAGCTCTCACACACTGCCCCCTGCTGGACACAAGTGAGTACTGTATCCAAAGCTGTGATCCCCACTTCAATTCAGTAGTGCCATAATTCGTCTTTCTTAATTTATGGATGTAATTGCTTTTGTGCAGTGTACAGTAACTTACAAATAGCAACGACTGGAAACTAAATGAAGTCATCTCTGACCTGCACAGTGCACAGTACTGTGTAAAAAGTTAAGAAAAAGGAAAATGTTTGTGTTGAGTGCTCAATAGAGGATAATGGAACTGTCATTTACTGAAGCTTTTCTCACTCTGTTTGTTTTTAATAGTGTGAGCACAGAAGCCCAGCTCCGTGAAAATGGCATCGTCATGGAGACACAAGCCTTTGAGGAAGTGATTGAGGTACCCATGATGACAAAACTGTCCCGTCAGGAGGGAGATGGAGAGGAAGAGGACGAGAGGAGGAAGACCCCACTGCTGGCCTTCAGAGAGAACGGCAGCAGTCATAACCTGACTGCCCTGGATGACAGCCAGAGCCAGGTCCAAGCAGGTGATAACATGTTCTATTTGTCTTATTGTTGTTATTATTATTATTTTTTTATTATTATTATTATTATTATTATTTTTCACCTTTACTGCTTTCCAGTATCTAGTGGCATGATGATGCAGTTACTATTATACGTTTATTGATGGTTACATATTGCCTGAAATATTGATAGATTTTATTGCCTGAAGATTTTTTAAAGTATTATTATTTTTATTGATATATTTATTTATTTTAATGTATTTTATTATTTACTTATTTAAAATATTATGATTTATATCATATGTCATATTTTCGTTGTTTTTTGTAAATGTGTAGTCCTCTGGGGCCTAAAGAAATTAAGCTGCTTTAAAATGACCACAAGCTCAGCACATTAAATAAGAATAGTTTAGGTACTTCCAGCTATTGTAACATTGATTTTTGATTGTGATTGTGCTTCATTTCCTTATCTGTTCTCTTTTACCTTTTTGCAGGTGATGTCTGAAAACCTGAGTGAGAAGAATGGGGAAGTAGATAAAGAGAAAACCTCCAGATTCTAATGTTGGAAACCTTCTTTCCTCCTTCTCCTTTCAATGTCCTCAAGTTGGCACACCTGAAAAGCTGAGGAGAAAGCAACTGTTAAACGTCCCTTCTCCTCACAATGTGGACAGCTCTCCTAAAGATTGCTCTTGTGCTTCCTTCAATCTGGCTTCTGCCTTGACCCCTTCCAGACTAAAGTGGTATGTCCCAGGAACATAAGGAGCAGTAGCGGCTCAAATCATTTATCTACTGTTAGTGGGGGAGCTGGGGTACGTCTAAAACCTGTGGATTTAAATCAGCTGTAAAGTCTGATCTAATACTTGAAGAATTTCTTTTTTTTTTTTGTTGCTGTTGAGGTAGCCTTCGGTAAAGTGCTAACCATAGTGACGCTGTTGGATGGTGAATGACCTTTGTAATATTTAGGTAAATCTAATGCAAAACTGACAGGTTTTGCTTTCGGTAAACCAGGAATGGTGTGTGACTTACTGATCTCACTGCTTAGTTTTGGAATTCCTTTAAAGAATGAAGAGAAAGTACTTTCATCTCATTTTTGAAGCTTTAAAATACATTCGCCTCGTTTCATCTGATTTGAGAGAGCCCTCGTAATGACGTGACTGATGGTTCAAGAATCCAAAGACCCCATCCATCAAGCGCTGTCTAAAACTGTTGTTTGTTTTCAGACCCTAATTGGCCAATCAGGAGCCACCCCATGACCATCAGTAAGCATTTTTTGCATTTTAGTGGAAATATTGCTGTCATTCGAAAGGTTTTGCACTACTCTGAGCTGATCACTAGTGGCAGTGCTTTCATCCTACACCATAGATATCAGAAGGGAGAATTTCTCTGATATGTAGTGAAGCAGGCTTTAAAAAAATATCTCACTCTGTGTGATCAAGATATAGTAAAATGAGGAAAAATGACATTTGCAATGCTGCTACATACAACTTTCCTTTGCCTTATCAGATCATGAGAAGTGTGAGGTGTTTGAGCAGCTTATCACTTCGTTGGTGGGCCTCATTTGGTTTAAGGGCTGATTACCCCCCCACACCCTTTAATTTTACACATGCAGGACCACAACCAGCTCAGATCTCTCTTAGATTCATCTCAAATTGCCCAGTGAGTCTGGACTGATGGAAAGACCTCAGCAGTTTCTGAACACTGTAATGCTTTAGTCTTATAACACTATCAACAGTTAACAAAGGTGGCCATCCTGCAAACAGTGTCAATAAAACAGGTTAAGATACTGTATATTTTGTTGAATGGATGTACAGAGAAAAAATGTAAATTTAGATATGTACACAGTAAAGACACAGATATAACTGTAAAAGTTTCAAAGTTCTATATTTTATTAAAACTGACACAGCTTTAAAAAGTGAAACACCTGAAGTATATCATGAATGGAGCTTTACTAAAACTGGAAGCTGGGGTCTTCTACACCAGCTTTATCAGAGTCTATTAATAATATTATACAGAGGATAAATAAACCTGCAGTAGCACTTGTGCTCTGAAACACTGGATACATAAGCGCTCTGGCTTAGTTTTAGTTCAGTGGAATATGCTCGGTTCTTCTTCACCCAGCCTTCTTTTCATGTCTTTAGAATCCTCATTACAGACACACAGAACGACCAAAACAGAAATACTTTCTCTCCCCAAGCAGTCAGATCTGTATAGCATGTAAAAATATAAAAAAGCAATAAAATTTTGTTTGGAAATCATAATGCTTTTTGTTTTTTCTTTTTAATAAGAACATTTTTGACTACAACTATAAGTCTGCCACATATTGGTCTTAAAAATGAATGGTTTTATCCATGTTAAATTGCCTAGTGCCTAGAAGCTCACATCATAGATTTCCATGACAAAAATGTAAAGTGAAAGCTTCTATTTTCAAAACTGTGCAAGTAGTTTTTAGTTATGATTTATTTAAGATTACTTACCAAATTCTATATCTTAAATATTGAGTTTAACTACTTGCAGAATGACTGAACTGACCTTAAATACCTAGATATAAATACAACATTACAAACGATAATAGAACAGTCTAAAAAGTGTTCTTCATCATTGGAAAGGAGTCTGTGTGAAATTTGATGGAGAAAATAATGTTCATGGGAAAGACTAAGCTGATAAGCAAAACATTGGCATGAACAATAAAATATGTGACAGGCATTTCCTCACAATTTACACCATGTTAAACAGATACACCAAAGAAACAGCATACAGTACATTGTACTGAGCTGTTGTGCACAAAACAAGACTATGAAGGATACTCTGTTAATGTCCTTGAAAACTGTCCGAACGCCAACTAGCTTTTGGTACACAGCCCAATTCTTTAGTATTTGAAACAGTGGCTGCATCCAAAACTGTGTACCATACTAAACAGTATGTCAGAATAGTAGATGACTGGGGCCCCTGAGCGCTAGCCATATTAGGAGATTGTGAGTTTGATCCACGGTGAGGCTACAGCCATCCATGGCCGGGTAAGCACAACTGGGTTCCTTCAAGAACCTACAGATAATAAATCAAAGCCGATCTCAGCCAATATATAAACTCTGAAATATATATATATCTAGTGCGTAATATACAGTGACCAAGTGTTATAATTGTCACATTAGGTCAACACGTTACAGGTGAATATGGTGTAAACAATAAACCACAATCTTTAAAACTGATTACTGATATTCTTAGATGTGTGTTTTGTATTTGAAGATTTGCAAAAAATGATGTTTATATATGCGCAACATCATTAAATTCAATGTCATTTTGCAAACATTTTGCCTTTAGCTTTCAAATGATTGAAAGTAAAATGTTGGCTTCATTATTTCATTCATTATTTTACAGACTACTTTTGATACCATTGTTCTGTTTAATCAAGAAAACTGTCTAAAATGGTTTAGGAGGTCATTCTGTTGGACAAAACCCATAATGGCATAAACCCAGCTACTGCCAAAATAACCTGTCCTTCAGAATAGTGCAGAAGCCCATTCCCCCAACTCAGTATCTCAAAGTAGTGACTTATTTTCTCAAAATATTGATAAAAATAATGATTTATTAAATTTCAAGAAAGTAAGTAACTATTTCGGATATGCTACCTAAACGTATCACAAACAAATGACAAAAATATAGTTGTGCCAAAGCTTTAATGATCAGTTACACATGACAGAATATAAGCCATTGAAAGTTGATGCTAAATCACAGTGCATAAAACACAGCCGCCAGTTTCACCTGTTATAATTTCAACTTGGTACAGACATTGTATAAGCAGCTATACTCAGTATTTGCATATGTGATTTAGAACATACAGCAGTACACTTTAAAAACATCATCATCATAAAAAATTATACTTGGAGCAGAGTTTGAAATTTTACATAGTTGCATAAGTGAAATGGGCGTGACCAGCTTGTTGCAAGGTGAACTGGTGAGGAATAATGTTATAAATGAAGGTATTTAAGGCATGCATAGTGTGCAAAATAGAAATAAAATATTGGGATATTGTGCCTCCTCAGTTTTACATTCCTTCTTTGTCATGCAAGGTGACCCTTAAAAACTGCACAGGAATGATGTGGGTCCCCAATCCTCTTCACAGTGAACTGTCAGAGTGAATTTCTGCCTGATGGAATTCTGTATTTGTTTGTCGTTGGAATATCTTCTGTAGAAGCGCCTTCAAATGATTCCTTATTTTTTTACTAGCAAAAATGTAAATCACTGGATTAACACAGCAGTGGGAAATAGCGAGTAATCTGCAGAGATCAAATGCATATTTAAGCTGAGCAAAGACACCAAGTTGTGTAAAAAGCTCAATCTGATGATGAGTTAAAGTCTGCAGAAATACCACAATGTTATAAGGAACCCAGCTCACAAAGGACACCACCACCATGCAGAAGACGAGTCTCACAGTCCTGTGTTTCTTCTTTGTTTGGGCCTTGATGATGGTCAGAAGAATTCTTATGAAGCAGAAGCTCATGACTAAAAAGGCAACAACCAAAAAAATGTTCTGCTCATATGTGACACCAACAAAGGCTATAATGCTGTTATGGTCACAGTAAAGTGTGTCAGGGTCTGATGGGTCACTGATGACTTCGCTGAACACGAAGTCTGGCAAAGCTGCTGAAAAGCTCACCACCCAAGCAATGATGGGAATCACTGCAAAACTGTGACACTTGGTCCAGTCAGACCTATGTAGCAGAGGATGGACCACTGCTGCATAGCGCTCAATGGACATCAGCATCAGGAACACAGTGCTGCTATAAAATCCAGCAGAGAAGATAAAGTTCACAGTTTTACACATAAAATCACCGAAAGTCCAGCTCCAGATGTAGTAACAGGCCCAAAAGGGAAGTCCAAGAGTGAAGATGAGGTCAGACAGAGTCAAGTTAAGGATGAAGATGTTGGTCAGTGATTTGAGGTTCTCGTAGAGTCCAAGGATCACCAGAACCAGGATGTTACCAATGAGACTGAGGAGGACCACAATGGAGATGAATATGGTAAGTACAGTGGATCCAAATTTGATCTCAGCCTCCTGGGGATATGTTTCATTATCCATAGGAGAGTAGAAGTAATAGTCTTCATAATTGTCTGTATCGTTTTCTGGAAAGCAAAGAAAGGATTGTTAAACATGTAAAGATTGATTCTGTTTTGCCATCTTTCAGGGTAGTGATGGCAAAGGATCTACCTCTGTCATCAACTATATATATATATATATATATATATATATATATATATATATATATATATATATATATATATATATATATATATGCATAATCTATATGCATGTTTCAGATAAATAATTAATATTATTAAAATTAATAATTAAATTAATAAAACCAACCTACAGCTTCTTGGGTTCTATATAACACCAAAAAGGGTTCTACTATTGTGATGATGCCAAGCGTAACAATTGAAGAACCTTTTTGGGTGCTATGTAGAACCCTTTTCAAAAACATTCTATAGACAACCACATACAGCATATTCTCCATCCGTCAGGAGAACCATTTCAAGAACCTTTAAGCATGCAAATATTTCTTTCATATTTCTATAAAGAACCATTCTCTTTGCTAAAGAACCCTTGAAGAACCATCTATGCTATTTCAGTGCTGTAAACCCAACCCTGTTACTTTCAAACCTCTTACTCATTCAAGCCACTGAATGACATTGTTTCTGAGATGAGTCAACACGGTGGCGAAGTGCATGTGTTCTGAGATTCAATGTTCAAAGTATAACCTTAATTTTTTAGGACTTACAAGAGCTAAATGCCACCCAGTGGTGGGATCACAACAGCTAGACTGAGTTTCCATCAGCTGTACAAGAGAATAAAGAACCTGGCATTTAACGGACTGTATATAGCGAGCAGTCTTATCGAGAGAGACACTGCAGTTATGTTTCAGTGAAAACCAAACGTAGAGATTTTTTTTCCAAAGACAGTCAACAGCACCACTGCCTGTGGGATTTGAACTCCAGTTGCCACCTTGTAACGCCATGGCGAGGCTCACTGGACTGTCTAATCAGTGCGTAGCAGTCAGTTATGAGGTTAGCTAACTGTGCTTAAGACTCCACAGAGTCTCCGTGTCTTATTACAATCACAAAAACTTTGTGTAGCAGCACTAGAGGACTTTGAAATGACTTTTGAAAGACTAAAGTCTGATACCTTCTCACATCTAAAGAGTGTCACAGTTTTTAGATAGATAGATAGATAGATAGATTGATTGATTGATTGATGCTTTATTGATCCCGAAGGAAATTTAGCAGCAGTAGCAGTCACACAACACAGGACAGTAATAAGGATGTAAACAATATAACAGGAAGGTGGAAATTTACAAGCAGATAAACACTTTTCCTTTCACTTTATAGTGGTACAGATGGGAAGATACGTTGGCTGGGTGTGTACAGATCTGGGGCTGTAGAACTGTGTACTCTGACGGATCATCACCCAGAATCTTTAATTACCCTGTAAAATGTTACCTTTTTTAAATTGACAGATTTACACATCAACACAACATGCAGCGATTCAGCCTTGTTGATTGGGTCATGAACTAAACCATAAAAAACAAACAAACAAAATGAGAAACCAGTGTGACAAAAAGCAAAAAAAAAAAACTGATGATTCTTCAATAATGCCATTCTTTAAGTCCTCTGCACATTTCCTTACATCACTGTTAAACTCACTGAGCCTGAAATATTAAAGCAGTCAGTTTAGAGCTCTCTCTCTCTCTCTCTCTCGTTCTATAGCGCCGCGCGCATGCGCCCCTTGCACATCATATTTGCATCGGCCAAGACTTAAAACTTACGATAATATTAAACACGGTTGATTTTGAAAAAGACTTGAGACCACCATCTTGACCACCTCACACTAAACGATCGAGATGACGCGAGCGCGATTCTAGCAATGACTTCATTCCGACACTGGATGTTTGTCTGCGACAGTGAAATCGCTTGTAAAGTCGTTTGGTGTAAGGCCGGCATTATTAACACCCCTTACTGTCGACATTACAGCTGCTGTTCTAAACATCCGCTTGTTGAAATGTGACTCTTAAAGAGACTATCAGCGCTTTACTGCTGGGATTTTCCGCGCCGTGGTGAGGAAATTCCCAAAAAAAAATCCACAGCAGAAAATCATTGGGGTGGTACTGCACCAGAGGGGGCGCTCGAGAGCGATGAAGCCCGTAGAGCCCGAGCCGATCAACGAGCTCTGTTCCCGGGACGAGGCTGAGCCTCATCTCGCTCACGCGGATCTTGAAGAATGACAGCAGAACAAAATACTGACGTTCAACACACCAACCAAGAGGGCGAGTACATGTCTGTGAACAAGCCTGCACAAAGACGTGCTAAGAGAAGGCACTGGAATATAGTATTATCTTTTCATCGGTAAGATGAAGATACATTATCAGTTCTTCATTAGTTTACTGGACTCTGCTGCCTTCTGTCGTGTATATTCCCCACACAGACTTCAGTCTTTTCACATTTACGTTAAAAGAACACAGTAATGATGGATGGATGTACTTTAATTTAGCGCATTCATTTTTTTTACAGGCAAAAATGGTTCGTTTTGGCGAAGTTTGTCGATTTTGTCCGATATTTGCCGTTTCAGCTCCTGTTTTAAACGCGCAGAAAAACACACGCCATAGAGAAAATTCCTTTAGTTCGCTAGTAGTGATGACAAATCACAGTGTTGTTTTAATAAATGACTAAAATAGTTGACATAAATGTCGTTTTCTTACCCATTTCTCTTTCCCAAATGCTCGTCTGTGCCACAGAGAGAAGTCGCGGAGAAACAGAAACTAACAGGGAATCAGTTTGTTTACAGTTCTGGAACAATAGTAAGATGTTTTCTATCAGATATTCACTCAGCGCTGGGTTGCCAAATGACCCAGTTTGGGTTTTTCCAGCAAAGCCTTCCCAGAGTGAGAGCTCCACTGTAAGGCTCCGCTCGCCTTGTTATACTTTCATTGTTATTATTCTGATCTCACTAGAGAGATATAATCAGACTCCCATAGTCCTTGTGGCTCCTGAGCTATAAAATAATCAAAACATCAACTTTCTTACCTTAGTATTTTATTGTTTTACTGGCTTATGCAAAAGTTTGGGCACCCCTGGTGAAATGACACTTTGTTGATTTTCTAACTGAAAATAAATGAACACACATCCTCTACAGGCAGCAAATTACTCATTTCTATGCAAAGTTCAGTGCACAATGTCTATTAACCCTTAGGACCATTGGACCATCAGACTCTGCCCTCACAATCCAGAGTGATTTCATCCACCTGTGACTATCCATCAGCCAGCGATCCAGCTCCAAAATCACCCAAACCCCACTCACTACTGTTTTATTACATATCTGCTTTTAGCCTTCATATTATGAACAAAGTGCTTTCAGTTTACATTGATTTTGAGTATTAACAATACATGATATTAAATATGCAACTGAATTTGTAATTAAAAATAAAGCCTGTCTTGCTGTGTATCAGAGTTTTAGCACTGAGCATGAATATATGATATTTTTCCACACTTCCAAACTTCAGTTTTAGAAGGTTGCATTTTTTTGTTTTTTGCTTCTTCTCATCCAAGTAATCCCAAACACATTCAATGATGTTGAGGTCTGGACCCTGGGCTGGTCAGCCCATTGTTCTGAGAACACCAGCAGCTTTATATATTTTTTTTCCCAAGATCTGAAGCAAGAGTGGAACTTTATTCTCTCCTTTAAGCTTTAAGTGCTGTTTGTCTGAGGGGGCAGTTTTGGTGGTCTGCCAGGTCTTACATGGTTGTTAGGAGTCTCATTTTCTGTTCCATATCAGGGCTCATATCATCCTAAACTAGGAACTGCTTTTTGGATTGAGGGAGTTTGATGTGGTCTGCGGATGTTGTTAGGGTTTCGGAACGTGTAAAAGAGGCATGCAGATCCTTAGATGTTAACCTGGGACTCTTTGTGATCTCCTAGAATATTATACGCTTTACCATTAGAGTCATTGTTGTTGGATGACCACACCGGGGAAGGGTAACAATGGTGGTGAATTTCCTCCATTTGCACACATTCTGCTTGACAGTGGATCAGTGACGTTCCAGCCTAATGAGCTTTGACTAATGTTTTTTCTGAGGTCCTCAGAAATCTCATTAGTGGCATGCACTAACAAATGTAAGTGGTAATCTCCAGACTTTGATAATAAAAAATCAGGCCATGTTTTTTTAATAGAGTAGGGTCAGCCACACTCACATCTGACACACAACTGATTGATTGCATCTCCTGACCCTCATTATCCCCTATACCAAACTGATAATTGTAGAGGTTCACATTCTTTTGCCAACCAAATTATATAACATTGAATCACTTTGTTCAATAAATGAAAGGAAAACTACACTTTGAAACAAAACAGTGCTTCAACGGTTCATTAGTAAAGAAAATGGTGCTATATAGAACCGTGAACACTCAAAGAACACTTTGCCTGATTAAAGAGTTCTTTGCCTCATTAAACGGTTCTTTAGATTGATGGAAAATGTGCGTGAATGTGCTATACACAGTTCTATATAAAACATTTTTGAAAATGGTTCTATGTAGCACCCAAAAGCGTTCTTCTATTGTTACAAGCTTGACATTGTAACAATGGAGGAACCCTTTTGGGCGCTATATAAATCCTTTTTCAAAAAGGTTCTATATAGAACCATGTACAGCACGTTTTCCATCAATCTGAAGAACTCTGTCCTGAGGCAAAGAAGCATTTAATCAGGCAAAGTGTTCTTTACTAAAGAACCATTGAAGCATCATGTTTTTAAGAGTGTATATAATTGTGTTATTTGTTCTATTGGGTTCTCTTTATCTCTGGTTATGAGTTAAATAAAGATCTGATCTCATTTTAGGTGAAACTGCAGAATTGCGCATGATGCTGAGTTTAAAATACAACCCCATTTCCAAAAAATGGGGACACTGTGCAAAATGTAATTAAAAACAAAATGCAGTTATGTGCGAATCATTTAAACCCTATATTTCATAGAAAATGGTACAAAGACAACAAATCAAATGTTGAAACTGAGAAATTTGATTGTTTTTTAGAAAATATATGCCCATTTTGAATTTGATGCCAGCAACCTGTTCCAAAAAAGTTTGGACAGGGGGCATGTTTACCACATTATTACATCACCTCTTTTTTTTAAGAACACTCTGTAAGTGTTTGGGAACTGAGGAACTGCTGTTGTTTTGAAAGTGAAATGTTTTCCCATTTTTGCTTAACATAGGATTTCAGCTGCTCATCAGTTCAGGGTCTCCTTTGTCATAGTTTTCATTTTATAATGTGCCAAATATTGTCAGTGGTGACAGGTCAGGACTAAAGGCCAGTTTAGCACCCAGACTCTTTTAATATAGAGCCATGCTGTTGTAATACATGCAGAATGTGGTTTGTCATTGTCTTGCTGAAATAAGCAGGGTCTTTCCTGAAAAAGACGTCATCTGGATGGCAGCATATGTTGCCAAAACATGTATGTATCGTTCAGCATTAATGGTGCCTTCACAGATGTGCATGTCACCCATGCCATATGCATTAATGCGCCCCTATACCATGATGAATACTGACTTTTGAACTGTGCACTGATAACAAGCTGAGTGGCCTTTAGCCCAGAGGACACAGTGTCCATGATTTCCAGAAAGAAATTCAAATGTTGATTCGGACCACAGGACACTTTTCCACTTCACCTCAGTACATTTTAAATGAGCTCAGGCCCAGAGAAGGTGGCAGCGTTTCTGGATCCTGTTTACATTTGGTTTCTTCTTTGTGTTTTAGAGTTTTACTTAGCATTTGTGGATGCAATGATGAACTGTTTTCACAGACAGTGGTATTCAGAAGTGTTCCTGAGCCCATGCAGTGATTTCCTCTACAGAATCATGTCTGTTTTTAATGCAGTGCCACCTGAGGGCCCAAAGATCACGGACAGCAATTACTGGTTTTTGGCCTTGTCCATTGCATACAGAGATTTCTCCAGATTCTCTGAATCTTGTAATGTTATTATGTACTGTAGATGATGAAAAGCAAAAGTTGTTTGCTATTTTATGTTGAGAAACGTTATTCTTGAATTGTTGCACCATTTGCCTGCACAGCCTTTCACAGAGTGATGAACCCCATCTTTACTTCTGAAAGACTTATTTTGCTCATTTTATACCCAATCGTGTTACTGACCTGTTGCCAATGAACCACCAGGTGTTTTTAAAAGCATAACACAACTTTACCAGCCTTTTGTTGCCCCTGTCCCAATTTTTTTGCTGGCGTCAAATTCACAAATGGTCAAATATTTTTCAAAAAACAATGCAATTTCTCAGTTTCAACATTTAATATGTTGTCTTTGAAGCATTTTCAATAAAAATATAGGGTTTAAATGATTTGCACATCTTTGCATTTTGTTTTTATTTACGTTTTTCACAGTGTCCCACCTTTTTTGGAAATGGGGTTGTAGTTGCTTCACAAGAAATAATGGTGTTTCTTTGAAAAATGGTGACTATTTTTTAATTGAACGGGTAAGTATTATAAAAGGTTACTTCCTAAAAATGTAAAAAGTAACTGTATTCTGAATACTGCCATTACAAAATATAACTTGGACTGAATACAGATGCTTAATTTCTGTATTCTGAATACGTATTCCTAATACTTGTATCTCATTACATCCCAACCCTGGCAGTGATGACATTTCCGTTTGTCATTTGGCAGACACTCCTATCCAGAGTGACTTACAATTTGATCAGTTTACACAGTTAGGCAAAGGTAGTGTTAGGAGTCTTGCCCAAGGACTTGTATTGGTATAGTGTGCCCAAGCAGGACTGAACCCCAGTCTACAGCATAGAAGGCAGAGGTGTTACCCACTACACTATACCGACCAAATAATACTAGTATTTCTTTTCAATTACACAGTCAAGGCCACTTATCCTCCTTGGTTACAGGTGCCTATCTACACAGTCATTGGGTGGAAGGCAGGAAACACAATGGACAGGTCACCAGTCACAGACATATACATTGACAACTGGGGCAATTTAACATCTCCAGTTCACCTGAGAGCATGTCTTTGGACTGTGGGAGGAACATGCAAACTCCACACAGAAGGGGATCCTGGTAACCTGGCTGGGGAATTGAACCCACCGTGCCACCAGTGTTAGCCAGGACTTGCTAACTAAGTAAACTATGTAGAGGTGTTGAGAGATCTGTGTGCATGTTATTAAACTTGTGTTTAATAACATCTACACTGTGTGTGCTTTTCTCACCTGTTTTTCATATGGCAGTGTGTGAATTTTAAAGCAGTTTATATTTGAGTGTTATGAAGGATTATTATCCATCTCACCTTATTTGGAATTTACTACAAGCCATGGCATTGCTATGGTGAGGGCTCTGTGTGTTCTTGGGCAGTTCAGCATACTTTACTGTAATTGTGTTTTCTGTATTAGTGAATTGAGTATATGCAGCCCAGGGCTGTTCATTTTACATAGGAACGTATGTTTTTCCTCTAATCTTGTCTTGTGAAGATTAAGTAAGTAAGAAGTTGGCATTGCACATATCCACGACATACAGTGCTGCTTAATCTTAATGTTAGTAAACTTTTTTGAGGGAAGATTGAACTGAACAGCTCCCCAGCAGTGCACCACAAGTGATAAGCTTAGCTTTAACTGGGCTCATGCATGCTGAAAATCACATAGCTACCCGTTTTATAGTCAAAATTGTAAAATTTTGTAATTGGCATTTATACAAGAGTTAGTTCCAGCCACACAAACTGATTGGTTGAGAAGCGTTCTAACCATGCTGTTATTTTGCCATAACATCACGTTTTTTTCACAAGCACTGTATCACTCCACTGAGACGCTGTTTGGCGAATGATATTGGGTTCATTTCTGGCTAATTCCAGGTTGTTTGGGGGTTCTTCTGTCCCAGCTGCCGACTGAAAAGCTTGCTCAGTGGTGATGACAGTTTTGGAATTTAGTGTAAGGAGCTGGAGAGCGAACTGCTGGCTGTGCAGTGAGTGAGCGGAGCTCATTACTCTGATGTAGCAACAAGCTGCTTGTTAAGGAACTATAATTTGGCGGAAGGAATTGCTAACATTGTTTAATATGTTTTAAAGTTTCATGGCCCAATTTATTCATTTCTTACTTTATTTATTTAACTGTTGTATAAAAGCAATAGAACACTCTAGATCATGTGTTATTGTGAATAACATCACGGCTGTGATGATCTATGATGTTATTTCGCAATAACACACTCCCTCTTGCTTAGATGGCAAATAGATGGCTTAGTGGGATTATGGGCAGCAGCAGTGGATGGAAGCAGATGATGAGAGCCAAAATAACGTTCAGAATTTTGTATTAATTTGAATAACTACACAAACAAAACTGCCAACCAGTACAAGTGAAGAAAGTATGAAATAAATAAAAATTACATGTACTTTATCAAGATGTATTGTAAATGTATTCAGAATATGTTACTTTTTTATGTATTACAATGCAATATGTTACTGAACACATTTAGGACAGTGCATTCAGTATTCCATCATCACTACTTCTCCAAAGTATTCTTCCCAACCCTGCTTAGTGCATTACACAACAGTTAAGCCATCACAGTCAATGAATGCATACTTCTGATATAAGCATATAAAATGCAGCTAAGGGTCTAAAGGCACGTAAACAAAAAAGCATTCGCCTGAAGTCCAAAAGATGAGAAAACAGTAAGGACTGTGCACATCGTTGTTCCTAATTTCAAAAATGCTTTACTTAGTCAAATTTAGGGCTACATATCAGGTTCACCTGCAAAAATGTTTGTTCTCTGTTTTAAGCCATTGTCAATCCCACAAGGCTACACTCTTGGTGTAAAATTATGCCTTTATTTACATTTATTATGCCTTTATTTACATGTTATGACATAAATAATAGCATTTTAGTACAGACCAGTTTTAAATGCACAATACAGAGCAGCCAGTCAGGACAGAGCTCATTTACATAAATCATTCTTAAAGGCACAGTAACAAAAACAGCTTCTTTGATTCTATTGGATTTAGAGATGTTGGAAAATGGTCATGTAATCATTACTATTAGTGTTTTTCATACAGAAAACCACACAAATGTTGTGAGTCTACTTCAGTCAGAAAACAATACAAGAAAAATGTAGGATATGGGCCTCACTCTGTCATTTTATAACAAGAGCAAACACGATGACACAGTTCTAAAAGTAAACTTAAAGTCAGTCAGAGAGATGAACTGCTGCAATTTCTAATGTTTCTGTAGGTCGTTCCAAATTATTCTTGTTTTAATGGGAGTGAATTAGGTCAACTTTTGGCCCACATAAAACAGGCAGAATGAATTTCTACCATTCTCATATAATGGAAGTCTATGGTGATTTAGCATCGAAACAGTTTCTTTAGAAGTGTCCTCAAATTATCCCAGAATATTTTATGAACAAAACAATAAATCACTGGATTAAGACAGCAGTGGGAAAAAGCGAGCAATCTGCAGACATAGAACGCATAGTCAAGACGAGTGGACACGTCACATTCAGAAAAAGTTTTGATCTGACGATAAGTTGAGGAGCGCAGAAATATTACAATGTTATAAGGAGCCCAGCACACAAAAAACACAGACACAATACAGAGGATGAGTCTTTTAGCCTTGTGTGCGTTGGCAGCAAGAGATTTGAGGATGGCTCGAAAAATTCTTGCATAGCAACAAAACATGACAAAAAAGGCAACCACAAAAAAAATGTTCTGCTCGTGTGTAACATCAAAGATAGCAAAAGTGCTGTTATACTCACAGTACTGTTTGTCAGAGTCTGGGTCAGGTATGACTTCATAGTACAGTAAGTCTGGCACAGCTGCTACAATGCTCACCACCCAAGCAATGAATAATAAAGGAATAACTGAACAGTGCCGATATCTCGTTCGATAGGACAGAGGATGGATGATTGCTACATAGCGCTGAATGGTCATCAGCATCAGGAACACAATGCTGCTATAAAATCCAGCAGAGAAGACAAAGTTCACACTTTTACACATAAAATCACCAAACGTCCAGCCCCAAATGTGATAACAGGCCCAAAATGGAAGTCCGAGAGTGAAGATCAGGTCAGACAGAGCCAAGTTGAGGATGAAGATTTTGTTCAGTGACCTGTCGTTTTCATCCAAATTCAGTCCAAACACCACCAGAACCAGTATGTTTCCGATGAGACTGAGGAGGACCACAATGGTGAAGACTGTGGGAACTACAATGGATCCAAATTTGATCACAGCCTCGCGATTACATATTTCAATATAATCATCATAATATGCAAATGTGCCATTTCCATATTCTTCTTCTGCACTTATTTCTGGAAAGCAAAGAAAGGATTGTTAAACACCTACAAAGCACTTCTATTCACTCATTTTTACTCTGACTGAGAGGAGCAAAGAGCACTAGTTTATACAAAATTAGAGCTCTTTGTTCCTCTGTGTCAGAGTAAAGCGCTTTCATTATCTCTGTGATAATGCTGAACAATTCAGATACATTTTCTTACCCATTTTTCTCTCCTGAATTGTTGTGTGTGTCACATGGAGAGAGGACTAGGACACTACAACACAGAAACAGAATGATTAAAGTAGGCATTCACTGTGAGATTTAAGAAGTCTTGCTGTTTTCTGTCAAACTCATGCTGCATTTGTACATCTAAAGCCTACAATATACTATCTGCTCACACAGCACTAAAATAATCAGTCTGACTGACATGCTATTGATAATTTCCAATAAAGCCTAACAAAGATACTGAAGAATAAGCATGTAGTTTTGCAATCTTCTTCCATAATGTCCATTAAAAAAGGGAAAATAAAAATACATACATGTATACACTTACAGAAGTATCAGCTTCTGCAGTCTGCACTGGAAACATGAACTATTTCACCTGGAGGATCAGAATAGTGTGTTTTGTACTGTCAGGCTTTTGCCCAATAGATGAAACTGCACATTAAATTCTGGCTGCAGATCTCTCTGAAAGACAAATTGAAACAAACGTGAAAACTGACATTTCTGGAAATTTACTATATTGCACACCTACCATGAAACCTGAAAGGGTTGGGGCATGTACAGGGATTTCTTAATCTTGTGTGAGCAGCTCTGAAACACTCTCGAATACGCACTGTGTTTAAAATTTTTGGGTACGGTAAATGATAGATGACTATAAGTAAAAAAAAGTGTCAATGTTTCTGGAAGTTTTTTTTTTTTTTAGCTGAAAAACTGGTCAGTCCCAGATGCAGTGCAAGGCAAATGCAGAGCCTCAGGTAGGGGACGTTGGTGCTGGTGCCTCCTGGCTAAACTAATCCTAGCCGGCTCCTCTTTCCTAGTTAACTTAGAATAGCTGCAGATCCAAACGCCCCAGTGTAGGTTCGATTCGACTAACTGGTGCTCTGCTATCATAAGCATAGATTATAAAAACTTAACGTTACAACAACAAGAGCAAAGTCGACTGATTGATGGTGGAGCCAAAATCAAACCTGTTCTGTAGTGCTTTTAAATTGTAGCCTGCTAGGCTAAGCTAACGCAAGTGCACAGTGCCTCCCTCTGCAGTGCGGATTGACTGAAGTGATAGAAAGATAAAAAATAGAATTATTCTGTGGTGCTTTGAGCTGTACGCTGCCAGGCAATGCTAATGCTAATGTAGCTACTTATCCAGCTAAAGGTGAAACCCACTGCAGTGCAGTCTGTTTCAGTAACAGATGCTACCATTAAGAGAGTAAAGAAGATGAGACCACACCAAGAGACTGGAGTTGGAGTGACAGACGGACTTTTGGAAGGAACTGCTGGGCTTGGAGCAAGTGAAGCTGGTTGTGGCAGCTGGCATTGGAGCTGAAGCAGAAAGTCAGGACTCCCTGGCACCTTGGCCTTCGTTTCCTGTGAGGGAAGCCGCTGGGTCCAGAAGAGCTGAACACGCAGCGCCAGCGCGGATCCCTGAGGGTCGTGAGCAGCGCACACGAGCAGCACCCTCCCCAGGTTTGACGATGCTGTGGACAACGGGAGAAAGTCAAACTATGACCGGCAGGCCAACGGCCAGGAGTTTTAGCCAGCAGAGACAATCTGAGGGCAGGGGGAAGTAGAGGCGAGGTAGTTACATCTCTCTAGGTCCATCAAACAATATCCATTTTCTTTTTCATGCGCTTTGAAGTAGGCTGGCATATGAGCTCCTTGTGGAATATGTCAGAACTGTCTGGAAATATCTGACGTCTACACTCTTTGCCTACAGAGAATCCAGTGTTGAGTAGCTTCCTGTTGCTCCTGTTTTTCCTGTTGTTTTATGGAAATATATGGCTGTATGAAACATATTAATAGCATTAAGACAAAACGCACTAACAACAGCTCTGGAAACCTGATGGCAGGCACCTTATGTGCGTTCACTGGTAGGTTTTACTCATTGATAAGTGAAGATACATTAACTTTTCTACTTTTCTTCACTGGTTCGCTGGAATATGCTGCCTTTTGTTTTTTTCTTTTTTGCGGCCACAAAAACAAACCAACAAAAACAAACAAACAAACAGGTGACGGTCATATTTCAGGTACATTTCACGGACATTTTTCACTCTTTTCTAAATCACATTTTATTTTTTTACTGGCAAATAAATTACCCGCTTCAAGCAAGCGTACAAACTTTCATGCGAACTGGGCGATGTTGTCTGATACATGCCAAAAAGCGCATAAAAATGCGGACAGGAGAGAAGTTACTATTAAATTCAAATACTAATGTTAGTAAATAATGAATGGTCATTTCGATGAAACAGATGACTTTAGTTATTAACATTAATGTCATTTTCTTACCTATTTTTTTTTTCCTAAGCGCTCGTCTGTGCCACAGAGAGAACACGCGGGGAAACGGACTAGCAGGGCTTCAGTTTGTTCAACGGTTCTGCACCAATAGACTATTCACTGTGTGGGAGGAGCAGAGCTGAGGTGTCAGGAACGCCTAGAACTGCACTTGAGCAGGGGCGACAAGGTTGTACCTTAAACATATGCACAATAGCATAATGCTCAAGGGCTCACAAACTTTAAGCAGCACTGTATGTCGTGTATAGGTGCAATGCCAACTTGTACTTACTTACTTAATCTTCACAAGACAAGTTTAGTGGAAAAAACTTATGTTCTTATGAAAAATGAACAGCGCTGAACAGCATATACTCAATTCACTAATACAGAAAACACAATTACAGTAAAGAAGCTAAACTGCCCAAGAACACACAGAGCCCTCACCATAGCAATGCCATGACTTATAGTAAACACAAAATAAGGTGACATAGGTAATAATCCTTCATATCACTCAAATATAAACTTCTTTCACACTGAAAACAGGTGAGAAAACCACATCCTTTCCTCTACAAAAACATTAGTGCATGGCCTTCTTTCCATGCAGACGAAGCAGGTTGTGTTTCAGTGCTCCAATCTGCACCTATTTCTACACACCTTTTGATGAATAAATCTCTCCTTTTCTGTTCCCAATCCTGATCCTTGAATACCCCCTGCCTAATGAGTCCAAATGAATATGATCACTGCATTACATAATATTTCCTTTAGAGTTAAGTCATCACAGTTAATGTATACTTCTGGTATAAACATATAAAATGCCACTAAGGGGCTAAAGACACATAAAGAAATAAACAAAAATGTTTGTTCTTTGTTTTAGGCTACTGTCATTCCAATAAGGCTAGGGTTAAAATTATGGCTTTATTTATATTTACATTGATATGCACATTTATTTACAATTCATTTATAATAACATGCTTTAATATTTAAAAGTGAAGCCTAAGTAAGGTGAAAAGGGGTGTGACCAGTGTGTATCAGACAGATCATCTGCCTTTGGCAACAAGTACGCATCTAATTTTGAAATTCATGATTTTAAGGTATCATACCACCAGACACCACAATGGGTCAGATATATGAAGAAAGCAAACTACAAAAGCACCACCAGCCCCCCATCCCTCCCTCCCCCACCCCAGACCCGCAGAGGAGGGGCCATCCCTTGTCATTCTTCAGATACAGATTCTGCCTTTCAGCCTGACGAGTCTACAGAGGAGAGGAAGAGAAAGGTATGCAGGTTGTCTTTTGTGCAAATCGAGGCACAAATTTTCTTAAAAACTTTTGTAGACAATAACGAGACACTACATATTTTGAAAGGCTGTTTTGACACTGCTAAATACTTACAATTGGTGTATTTTTTCAAAAAGACCTGTCTAATCAAAACGTAATGAAAAGCAGGGAGAGAGACACATTAGTATTAGTAATTAATGAGGTCAGGTACTGATGTTGGATGATCAGCTCTGGATCACTCCAACTCATACCTAAGGTATTGGATGGAGCTCCATCACTCCAGAGAGCAAGAGAACAGTTTGACTGCTCCACAGCCCAATGCTGGCAGACTTTATTCCCCATCTAGCCCAAGCTTGCATTGGACATGATGCCCTTAGACTCTTGTGGGGCTGCTCCAGAGCATCCCATTCTATTGGCAAATGCTTTCCTATGGAAATTATCAAAGCTGTGTGTGCACAATTGCCTCTGTCAGCAGTGGGTGCACCTTAAAGTAGCTGAGTTAACTAATTAGAAGGGTTGTCTGACTATTTCTGGACATAGTGTATTGTGTTTAACCAAGTTATGGAATAAAATTAATTTAAATGCTTAGTTATTTGCATTTGTGAATAGCTTTCTACAGCACAGCAAAAATCAAGAAGGAAAAAGAGGACAAATAGTCAGACACAAGAAAACCATGAAGGCAGCAATAATGGAAGTATATCTTCAGATCCTGAGACTGGTGAGTTCACACTTGAACAGATGAGTATGGTAAGATGTGGACTGAATGACCTACTAATTAACAATTAACAACTGCAGTACAATCACTACCAGGCAGAAGTGTGTACTGACTAGTAACATTTACTAAATTACCTCTACTCAAGTCAGATTTTTATGGATTTATGCCTCCCTGGGTATTTTCAAATTATACTATTTTTACCTCTACTCAGATTTATTTGTTAAGCAATGAAGGTAGGCATCAACATTTCTTTACAGATTCTTGTTTTGTTCTTAATGTTATTCTCTTACATTAGTGACAGTACTGCTTTGTGAATGGTCATACCTCCGACTTTGGAGATTTATCATTTTATTTTAGGCTGAAAATGAGCAAAATAGAGCCTAACAAACTTCAATTCATTTGCTTATAGACACTGGGTGAACTATGAAGTTCCACTGCAGTTCTATAAGTTACTCAGTACTTAAGTAGCCTTTTGACTTGATACGTTTGTTTTTTACTGAAATTGTTTCTTAGAAAGGTAGTTTTGAGTCATTACTGTTACTGAAGTAACAGTAGTTCTGCTTGAGTACACACCTCTGTTCTCAAAGCAGCACTCTTCCTTAGCAGCCCTGGTGCATTTTTTGGCTGTGATAATTTCCATATGCTTGCTGTATTGTTACTCTGATTGAGTGAATATTTCCCCAGCAGTTGCTGTCATATTGTAATAACATTGAATAGACTCTGCATTGAAAGGATTCTGGGTTAACATGCTTATGTAGGGTTGGCTTTGTTTTGTTTTTTCAACTTTACACACACAATTTGGAAGCGCAAACTAGGGGTGCAACGATTATTTGACTTAGTCAACTAAAATCGACGACCAAACTAATTTAGTAGTCGATTCGTTGGTGACGTCATTGCGCGTCTTTCTCGCGCTCACTAGAAACGTTGCGACATTACCGCTCCCTGGACAGTTAACAACAGCGCGATGGCTGCCTCAAGAACAAAGTCCTCAAAAGTGTGGAGCTAAACTCAGAAAACAAATTGTGCTATTTGTAAAACCAAGCTTATTTGTAAAACGGGGAGCCCATCCTCCATGATGGAGCATCTGAAGAGGAAACTTGTCGGCTCACTGGGTGAAGAAGATTAATCTCGGTAAAATACAGCTCTAGAAGTGCACTCATTAGTGCAGTGTGTGAAGTACAGAAGTGTGTGTGGTTTGGGACGCGGAGGTAGTTGTGCTAGCGAGCTAGCTAATGCTAATGTCAAGTTCCGTCCTACTTCATGCTGTGAGCCGAGCTGTAACATTCTGTTTCGAAATGCATTTTCTCTGGAATCGTTAACGGAGTTGGAACAGAGGAGCAAGTAACTATTATTCACAGCGACCCTGTTCATTTTCCAGATAACGTTCACAGTTTTAACACTGCATCGTCGTCTTAACGTCGAGGCCACCGGTGT